GCCACCGGGAGGACCCCGTTTGTCCTCAAAAGGCCCCGAGTTTGCTACCAAGAGGCCCCCACAGGGGACCCCAAGGGGTCCCGAAGCGGCCTGGAGGCTCCGCTGGGCGGGGTGGATGCCTTCCGCCGTGGGGGCAGGGGGCTCTGGCAGAAAGCAGGCGCGCCAAGCAGTTCGAGCGGCGTCCTCCGGGAAAGAAGCTGCAGGGGAGCGGCTCCCCTGCAGCTGTTCCGAAGAGGTCTGACCCAGCCTGTGCCCGCGCCGCTGCTCACCTAGGGGGGGGAGGGGCTGCTGCGGGGGCGGCCTGGGGCAGAGGTAGCAAACGAGCCGGGCCTCGGAGGCAAGGGCTAGTTTTGGCTCAGGAGGGGCCCTGGCTTTCCAGGCGATCGCAGGCATGGATTCAGGGGGGGGGGCGTGGATGAGCGACGAGTGCCGCTTCCACGGGACAGCGCGTATTTCCGCCGCCGAGCGAGGCGGCACCTCCCCCGATCCATGGATTTGGCGACCGCGCGCCAACCCCACGGATCGCCAATCCAGGCTGGCGCGTCCCCGCCGTGGCCTTCGGGCCGCTGCGCAGATCCAGGTCGGGGAGCCCCTTCGTGGCCGAGGGTCCCCGTGGCCGGAGCAGCCCCGTTCGTGCCCTCTGCTGCCTTCCTATAATGGTCTCGCGGGCCCTGACAGAACGACGACGACGACGACGACGACGACGACGACGACGGCGACGATGGCGATCTGCTGTCGTGCAGCTGGTGCCGGCCCCGCCGCTGGGCACAGCCCTCCCTCCTCGGTGAGTGGCCGCCCTGCCCGCCCTGGGCGCTGCGTGCTGCTTGCCCTCCCCCGTTCGCCCCCTGCACGACAGGCAAAACCGGCCAGCTTGCACCACACAGCTTGCACCACACAGCCTGTCGGGTGTAGCCAGGACGCCAGGTAATGGGGCCCGGTTAGTAGTAGGACCCAAGAGCCCTTAAATTGACCAGAATCGCTAAACCAGATCTGCCGTAGCTAATGTGTTTCGGGTGACGGCAGTTCCAGTTCGTGGAACGGGGCGGGGGGGGCGCCCCTCAGTACACATCACTCGACCGGGTCTCACTAAACCCATTCCTGCCAACGCCCGAGCTTGCACCACTTAGCTTGTTCCACTTAGATTCATGCGAAATCAGTGTATGGGGTCTTCGCTGACTAATTTGATTTGCAGAGTTCGGCCTCCGAGGGCCTTGAGCGGGCCCAGGGATTATCAAAACGACTCAGGACGAAGCGCTGGTCCCCAGGAGGTCGTCCAGACGTCTGGGGAGCCACCTTGTCGAACAGAGCGCGACGCTGGATGTCTGGGCAGGACGGGGTATCGTTCTCTCGAAGTCTTGGGACTTGGAGGACGTGCCGAGCGCCCGTGCCATCCAGGCCCCAAGCCTTCCAGCAGGCCAGCGGCAGTCTCCGGTGCTGGCTTCGGCTTGTGCATGTCAGCGGGCCGTCAGGTAGGCTCGTGCTGAGAATTAAGTCGGGCATGTCCCTCCACAGGAGGAGTTTTTGATAGTTAGAAATAGCCAGCCTGGGGACGATGTTTCGTGCTCTGTTGATTTGTTTCCAGCATGTGTTTGCTTTTTCTTACTTGTCTCCCAACATTCGCCCGTAGGATGACATGCCCGACCTAAGCTGAGCAGCCCCCGGGGCCGCCAATCCATACCAAGCAGTGGCTACTATCGCATCGCATGCAGCGATCGGAAAGCCGCGCCCCAGATGTCGCCCTTGCCTAGGCCCACCCTTGCGTGTTGCGTGTTGCGTGTAATTAGCTGGCGTTTGCCCCCCCCCCCCCCCATGTCTTGACCGAATCTTTCGCCGCCTGGCTGACCCCAGGACAGGGTCCATGTCGACCTGATCGACCAATCAATCCGATTCAATACCGATCCTGGTCGGCCCGATCCGACTCGCTTCCAGTACGCCGACGATTAGATGTGGGCCGGTGTTTGCGTACATGGCGTTTTCGCGCATCCGATCTGATTCGACCCCGACTCCGCGCCGACGCGCCTGGTGTTTTTGTTTAATGCAAGCCTTGAGTTTCATGGAACGTTGAGTTTGGCGTTTCGCGGCCAGTGGCGGCGAATCGGGAGTGCTGGGCTGACGGTTCGCGCGGGACGTGTGCCGCCACTTGCCATCAGCCATCTGCCGCTTTTTGCCGCTGGTCCCCCGCAATCCTTCCGCATCTTATCGAGACAGGCTTCGAGCAAAACGAACGCAGGACGCGGCCCGACCTCACCCGCGCCCCGACCCGATCCCAGTGTCCCGATCTGAGGCTGTCCGCTCCCTGCCCCCTTCGGCACTGACAGAGTCTTTCGTTGCCCCGGCGTCCTCGGGGGGGGGGGAGGAGGAGGAGGAGGAGGATCGAGGAGGAGGAGGAAGATGGGGAGAAAGAGGAAGATGGGGAGGAGGAGGAGGAGGAGGAGGAAGGAGGAGGAGGAAGGAGGAGGAGTAGAGTAGGATGAGGAGGAGGAGGAGGAGGAGAAGGAGGAAGAGGAGGAGGAGGAGAGGGAGGAGGAGGAGGAGGGGGAGGAGGAGGAGGAGAGGGAGGAGGAGGAGGAGGAGGAGGAAGGAGAAGGAGGAGGAAGAATACTTCGGCATTTACAGAGTCTTTCGTCGCCCCGGCGACCTCGGGACGCTTCTCGGAGCGCCTCCCGATGGGCTCGCTGAGGGCTCCCCGGCGGCTGTGGGCGGCCCCGGCCTTGCCTCGACCACGTGGCCCCCCTCTGCTCCGAGCGGGTCCTGGGCTTCAAGCGGGTTGCCCCGTGGAGGCGGTCCTGCTGCAGTGCGGGCAGCAGTATCGTTAAGTCGGGCCCGTCCCTCTACAGGAGGAATATCCAACAAATAGTCAAACGAGTCGTAGGGGACGATCTTTTCAAGTATGTTCGACTACTTCTGAGTATGTTTTGACTATGTGTTCTTATTCGTCCAAAATCCGCCTGTTGGAGGACATGCCCGCCCTAAGCCAAGCGGGTGGCCCCGTGGAGGCGGCATTGCTGAAGTGCGGGCAGCAGTAACAGAAAGGGATGGCTGGAGAAGAGGACGAGGCATGAGCGGGAAGAGGGAGCCAGCATTTGGCAGAGGCTCTTCACTTGTCCGCATCACCTTTCCTCCGCCGCCGTCCCGTCTGCATTATCGGCAGCCTTGTCGTGCGCATCAGTTCTGTGGAGTAGGCACCGTGAAGGACAAATGCCGACGGTTCCAATGGGGGGCCGTTCAACGCAATATTACAGGCGGTAGAAGATCGAGGGCGGTAGGTCGGTTCGGGGAGGGTACCCTAATGTTTTTCGTGTTTGTTGGATGCTCTCGTGCACCCTTGGGAGAGTACCCTTGGATGTTCTGTGCGTTTTGGCCAGCGGAGGGTCTCGAGTTCTTGAGGGATGTTCGTATGTTTTAGGTTTAAGTCAGGCATGTCCCTCAAAAAAACAGTCAGGGGTCGATGTTTTGACTATGCTGTAATATGTTTTGCAGATGTTCTGGCTATTCCTCATGTTTCGTCCAAAATCTGCCTGTAGGAGGACACGCCCGACCTAATGTCAAGTTCGATTCTATGGTCCGCCATCGGGGGCGCCTTCCGCAGGGCGGCCGGCAAGCCACACCCCTGATTGCGGCGGCACGTCGGGGCACGATCTCTCCAGCCACACAAAGGGGACCGCCAGCACAGGGGGAGGTCGAGCGCAGGAGGGAAGGAAGAGGAGGAGGAGGAGGAGGAGGAGGAGGAGGAGGAGGAGGAGAACGACGAGGAGGAGGCGGAGGAGGAGGAAGAGGAGGAAGAGGAGTTGGAGGAGGAGGAGGAGGAGGAGGACGGCGTCGAGGTTCCCCCCCATGGCGGAAACGTCTCTGCTATTCCGCTCCTTAGCCACATCGCCGCGAAGAAGCGATGCAGTTGGCGTTGCAAAGACAGCGTGCAGCATCGATGTCCGAACATCGGCGGCGAGCGACGGGGGGAAGCGAGAAGGAGAAGGCCTTCTCAGAAGGCAGCGGGGCTTCTCACAAGCCCTCGCGCCTTCTGAGAGAGGTTTGTTTGTGTCTTCAGGGGAGGCTTCGAACACTTATCAGAAGGCCAACGGACTTCGAGCCTTCTGAGAAGGCCCGCCCCTTCTCGCTTCCCCCCCGGGCTGGCCGCCGAGAAAAGCACGCTGTCCCGCTGAGGGGATCCCCCACGAGCGCCCCTTTTTGTGCACGCCGCCCCCCTATAGCTACGAGGGCCTCGTCGGTGCACGCTGTCAACCTGCCAGGGCCTCGTCGGCGCACGTGGCCCTCAAAAGGTCCCCATAGGTGGGGGATAGCGTGTTCTCCGTGGGCAGGCGGCCTCTCACACGCACGCTATCCTGACAACGCCAAGGAGAAGGAGGAGGAGGAGGAGGAAGAGGAGGAGGGGAGGAGGAGGGAGGAGGAGGAGGAGGAGGAGGAGAGGAGGAGAGGAGGAGAGGAGGAGGAGGAGGAGGAGGAGGAGGGGAGGAGGAGGAGGAGGAGGAGGAAGGAGGAGAGGAGGAGGAGGACTAGAGGAGGGGGGAGGAGAGGATGGGGAGGAGGGAGGAGGAGGAGAGGAGGAGGAGGAGGAGGAGGGAGAGGAGAGGAGGATGAGGAGGAGGAGGAGGAGGAGGAGGAGGAGGAGAGGCGGAGGAGGAGGAGGGGGAAGAGGAGGGGGAAGAGGATGAGGAGGAGGAGGAGGAGGAAGACTCTGTCAGCCGTCTTGGGGTCTTCTGGAGGACCCTCGGGACAGAGCCGCAGTCATCGGGGGACGCGGGCTGTACAGGGTGCGTCGGTCCTGGCTTTGCCCAGGGCCGGTGCACATTTGCTTTCCCGGCCAGGCCGGGGAAGAAGGGCGTGCTCGCCGATCTCCAGCCCAGGAGGACCCTTGCCAGGACTGGCGTGGTTTGCAGTCGGCGTCTCCCTTTCCAGGAGCGCGCAGAGGCCCCCCCAACGACTTGACACGGCTGTCGCCGCTGCTGGTTCGTCGCGGCCCGCGGCGCCACCGCGGGCGAGAGGAGTTCCAGATCGAGCCGCTGAAGGGCAAGCTCGCGCCTGGCGAGGAGTTCGACCTGCGCATCAACTTCAAGGCTCCGGGGAGGAGGGGAGGGAAGAAGGCGGAAGCGAAGGAGGGAGTGACGCAGGGGTAGAAGGAGGAGGAGGGGGTGAGGATGAGGAGGAGGGGGGGAGGAATGGGAGGAGGAATCGGAGGAGGAGGAGGAGGAGGAGGAGGAGGAGGAGGAGGAGGAGCCTCCAGGGACTTTCGGGCCCAGGGGAAAGCCCCCCATGCCCTCGTCCTCTTCAGACTCCAGCAGGGAGTCAATCTCGTTGGTTGCTCCCGATGTGGTGTGCTTTCGTCTGCTCGACTTGGCCTGCTCCCTTCTCCGTGTGCGGGAAACCTGCCCACGTGGGCCAAGAAGATCTGCAGCAGGCTCGATCATGGCGAATACGGGCACATCTCGTCGGGCGTTTCGCGTACCCTTCGAGTTGTCGAGGTCCGCTCCAATCTGAGTTGATCCTGTTTTTGCAGGGAGTTGCGGAACCCGTGGCTCTCTATGTTTTGCCCCAGAGGAGGAGGAGGAGGAGGAGGAGGAGGAGGAGGAGGAGGAGGAGGAGGAGGAGATGGAGGAGGAGGAGGAGGAGGAGGAGAAGGAGGAGGGGAGGGCGTCGGCGAGTCAGGAAAAGGGGAGACGGCGAGGATGAGAGTGAGGATCAGTTTGAGGAGGAGCAGGAGAAGGAGGAGGAGGAGGAGGAGGAGGAGGAGGAGGGCAGACGCATCAGCTTCGAGGTCCCTCTGGGCTCGTCTGGCGGGGTGCATACTCTTGCGCCCCGCTGACCGCGCAGCTCCCTATCTGCCTGCACATAATGACGTACTCTTTCCTCGTCGTTCATCCCTCCCTCCCTCCTCCTTCCCTCTTCCTTTTCCCACCTTTGCCCTCCTCACTTCTCGGTCGAAAGCCTGCTACACCCCCGTGAAACAGTTTATATCAAAAGTGGCGCAGGGATGGAAACCGAAAAGATGTTGAATCAGTCCAGGCGGAGCCCGTCGCATCAAGTGACATCCGCCTGTCCGTGTTACGGAAGTCGTCTGCATTGCGCGCTGCATGTTTGCCGTCCGATTGGTGGGAACGAAACCGCAAGGCATAATGTGGAACCGCTCACGCCACCAGCCCTGTGAAGGAGCAGCTTGGAAGAGCATCCGGGCATTAAGTGGCGTCCACCTCCCAATGTTGCCACTGGGCGCGCAAGCCAAAGTGTGGCATGATAATGACGTGTCCCATGGTGGATGCCTGCGCACGCTGCCAACCTTGAAATACGAATATCACTTAATGATCCTCTTTGGGCACTGTTGTCCGCAGATCATTCACGATGATCGTCAGATCGTCTTGTTGATACTGTTGTAACTTGTCCCGTCTGTGTGCAGCTTCCCTGCTTACGGCGCAGACTTTACAATCTTTCCTTCTCCTCTTCCTCCTCCTCATCCGCTTCCGCCTCCTCCTCCTTCTCCTCGTCCTCCCTCCTCCTCCTCCTCCTCCTCCTCTTCTTTCATACTCCTTTCTTCTTTTCCCTTCTCCCCACCTGGAGGTCTCCAAAGCCTTTCAGATAATTCCGGAGGCATTGTGATAACCCCCCGAATCAGTTAGTTAGAAGGATCATTCGAGCATCTTCCAGAATCTCCAGACACCTCCAGCGATGTTCCCAGAGGTCGTGGCCACGTCCTGGGGACTTGGTGTTCATCCCGAGTCTTGCTCTGGCGGCCCCAGAGCCTGGGGCAAAAGGGCCCCCTGACGCCGCAGGCATACCACAGCATGGTCCGCCGTGTGGTGTGTTCGGGGGTGCAGGATCAGCTACTGGGCTTAAGTCGGGCCTGTCCTTCTACAGGAGGAATATTCTCAAACATAGTCAGAAAATGCGGGACGATTGTTCGACCATTTTCGGCTCGGTTCGCACACTTTTCGATTACTTTGTATTTACCGTCCAAAATCCGTTTCTAGGGGGACATGCCCGATCTATTACTGGACCAGTCCTGGGGCGCGCTCTGGCTCGCATCTTCGAGCCGTGTCCGGCCCGTGGCGGCGAGAAGCCCCTTCCTGCTCGCTCGAGCAGCGCGGAATATGTCCAACGCGCGTCGGCCGTCGATGTTCCTCGAATCTTATGCCTTCGCGCGCTCTTTTTTGCCCGGACAGAGCGGATGTTGTTCAACGCACGCCGGCCTTCGAAGTTTTTCGATTTCGTGTTTTCTTGTTTTCTCTCTCTCTCTCTCGCACGTTTTCATCTTCTCTTTTGTGTTCCTCTCTCTCTCTCTCGCTCTCTCTTTCTTTTTCTACATTCATGTATGGTGAACATATATGTCTATTTGTTGTGTATACGTACATATGGCCCCTAGCTCCGACCCAGGCATCTTGAGGTATCCAGAGCGGGGACGCATACGCCCATGCCCCGCAGTTCGCGCTTTCTTGTCACACACTGACGGCTTGCACGGGTCTTTATCATTGTTATTATTTCGTGTTGTGCTGCGGCATGATGTGCCGCCAGCCGCCGATGCCTGTGTGACCTTGCCTGGTGCCTCTTCCATCTCACGAAGGCTCATGAGCATACGACGCACTCACGTTCGACACGCATAACACGCCAGCATCACCATCCTCCGCGATCTGCTGACGCCCCCGCCGCCCGGCCTGCACCTGGTGGAGGAGGTATCCGAAGACGAGGTGGCGACGGATGCGGGAGTTGACACTGCGAAGGACCAGGAGGAGAGGAACATGCAGACGGCACGAGCGTGGGAAGTATCGCGCGACAAGCAGCGGCTCAACATTTCCTCGGCCCCGAGCGCGCGCATGTCCGAGGACGTGACCTACGACGAATACGCCTCCTTCAACATGTCCTCGTCTTGCGGCGGCGAGGAACGCCTTGCCGTGAAGCGCTTCACGGCTGGTGGGAGCATTGTTTATCGCGCGCTGCCCTACGTCCCCCGCAACGCCACCACCGATATGTACGAAATTTAGAAAAATACGACAATATGAAGCTATTCGTGAAAAGCGCTTACAAAACGGATGTCTGCGACGGGCTCTTGCCCGATTGGCTACGATTCGTGCAGGGCGCGGGGGATACTGGGGTCCTACCGACGTTCACACCGGAGACCGTTGGTGAGCGATTTGGCGTTCTGCAGAAGGACTGGCCTATGATCCAGGAGAATATCATAAGTAAGTGTCTCGAGATGTTCGCACAGATATCCGGGAAACAGGACGACTACAAGTACTTCTACGCGCAGCGCGGCCTGCACCTCAAACTGGGCGCCACGGAGGTCCCGATTCACTGCGCCAAGATCGCGGAACTGTTACGCCTCCACGCCGCCGAGGACGAGGACGAGATGATCATCCTGATAGAGTTCGAGGACAGCATGTTGGAGAACCCGACGCACCGCGCCAAGCTCGCGGAGCTGATTCGCTGCCGCGCCACTGCGACCGAGGACGCGCTGATTCACGCGAAGGAGTACGTTGACAGCGGGACGTGCGGCGCCCTGCACGACCTAGAGCAACTTCGCGAGCATTACAACGATGAGTGTTGCTCGTGAGTCGAGGCTGGCATTGCTGCACGTTTCGTCTTCCACCCTGGGGGCTGTCGCCCCGTCCGCCCCGATCGAGAACTCACATGCACGACTGTAGCTTGAATGATATGAGCAGGAACGTGCAGGCGTCAAGACCTGCGGTGTTTTTTGCCCGTCAGTGTGTGACTGCACGGTATATCTTCGGGTGTAGCCCGATCCTAGAGGCACTCTGTGTTTGCAGACCTTCACGGACCCGCTGTTCCCGAAGGGTCCGATCCGATCCGATATATGGCCCCTACGCGGCGGCGGCCCCCGCGCAAAACCTCTTGCCGGCGCTCTTCCTCCTCCTGGTACCCCCTTCTTTCTCCTCTTCTCTCTTCTCCTCGCTGTTCTTCCTCCCCTCCTCCCTTTCCAGTGTTCCTCCTTCCTGCTTCCTCCCCCCCTCTCCCATCCTCTTCCTTCGTCTCCCCTGCTCACCCGTCCCTTCCTCCCGACGGCGCCCTCCCTCCTCCCTCCTCCCCCTTCTCTTCCCTCCTTCCTTCCGGGCCGCCCCCAAACGGCTCCGGGCAGAAGGGGTCGCAGGACCACGTCGCATCGACGACGTGGCACGATGTGGGCCGCAAGTGTCTCCACGCCGACGTCGCCGATGCATCGGCCATGCCATCGGCGATGCGGCGTGTAATCCTCTGGCCTTGCCTGCTCGGGCCCCACCGGGGAAACCCCCGTTGCTCCCTCTGTCTCTCTCTCTCTGTCTTCCTCCGTCCTCCCGGCGGCGAGAGAGGGGGGGCAAGGGAAAAGGGGAAGGCTTTCTCAGACGGCGGCGGGACTTTGCAGAAACCTTCGCGCCTTCTGAGAGGTTTCCGGTGTATTCGGGGATCCCCTTGACAATTTCTCAGAATGCCGGGGGGATCTTCTGAGCCTCCTGAGGAGGCCTCCTCCTTCTCGCTTCCCCCCTCGCTCGCTGCCGACTATCCCTGGGCATCCTCCGATGCGTCTCTTCAGTCCGCGTCCCCAGAGCTCCGCACGACAACGGGTCCCCCGAGGCCGATCCCGAGGGAACGACACTTTGTTCTCGATCGTTGTTGGTCGGCATTCGCTGTTTCAGGGTAGATGAACAGTTTGGTTTCTTCCTCCGTCCTCCGCTTCCCCCTCGTCCGCGTCAGCGCCTTCGCTCCGCGTGGGCGGAAGGGACGGTGACGGTCCCGCGGCAGGACGGCTTGCGGACTCCCCAGTCGCGTCTCCGACGTTGGCGCCGCGCCGTCGGCGCCTCGATGCGTCAAGAGAATGAGGCCGTATCATCGGAGTTCTGGACCATGTTTGTTTTTGCGATGTCGCTCGGACTTCAAGCTCAGGCATGACGGCAACAATTTCAGCTGCAGACAGGTGGCACAGAGCCCATGACCGCAGAGGACTTGCCCTGCGAGCGGCCGTGAGGCCCCCCCCTCTCCTTGGGGTCCTGGGTCCGTGGCGCACCACGATGCCGCACGCGGTGCAAAGAGGATGGGCGATGGAGCGAACGGCACGTTGCGAGATTCTCCCGCGCAGAAGCTGGAAGGACCCCCCCAGACGAGCAGGGGTTATGGGGCAGTGGTGTCCCTTCGTCCTCCCCTCTCTGCATCTCTTCCCCTCGCCGCCCCCCTCATCAACACAGTGGGGTACGAAGGCCCTGGCGACGGGACGGGCTGTGCACGAGCGAGCATCGCAGCGGGCTAAAAAGAATCAGGAGAGACCTCATCGCCTCAACATTGCCATTCTAGATTGATCCATTTACGGGTCCAATTCTCGCTACTGCACCATTTTGTTCATCACAGGCGTAGCATGCTTTGACCGACGTCGTGTCTTTGTTCATGACGTCGGCGCCCGTGGTCTCGACCTATCACCCAGGACCGGTGTTTCATTTGTTCCCATGCAGACCTCCGGCTGTTCAAACTTCCTCCATGTGCGGGCCCCGGAGGCCTGGACCACTTCCCTTTGGGCCGATTGTTCGTCCCGCGTCGTCCTTTGACGGTCCCGAGGCCGGGCGAGGGTCCCCGCGGAGGCCGAAGAGGGCCCCACACGAGCCGCTCCAGGGATTCGGGAGCGTCGGATCTCAGAGGCCGAAGACAGCGAAGAACCGCCCCGCCTTGTTTGTGTCATCCGACTGCACGTGAGAGCGACCGTTCGCCGGAGTGACCTTCTCGCGCGGGCTCCACGGGGCGCCCCGATGGCCGAACGCGCCTTGCGGCCGCAGCGCCCTGCGCGCTCGTGCCGGGTGCCCCCGCGGCCCCCAAGCAGCAGCGCACCAGAGGCCGCTCTTGCCCGCCCAGAGATCCGACGTCGTGATTCTTTCAGTGCGGGGCCCCCAGAAGTCTCGACCCATCCCCCAGGACGGGTGTGTCGTCCCGAATCGTTCTTGTTGACAGTCCCAGGCCAGGCAAGGGCCCCCAGAGGCCGAGCATCGCGAAGAAAAAACCCGTCTTGACTTTTTCAACACATAGGAACTCGGGGCAGGGTGATTCCTTTTGCGTGCAGTCGATTCGTGACTCGAGGGGGTCTGCCCCGTGGCCTCTAGGCCTCATCCTCCTCCGCCTCCTCCTCCTCCTCCCCTCCTCCTCTTCTCCTCCTCCTCCTGCCCCTCCTCCTCCTTCCCCTCCTCCTCCCCCTCCTCCTCCTTCCCCTCCTCCTCCTCCTCCTTCCCCTCCTCCTCCTGCTCCTCCTCCTCCTCCTCCTCCCCCTCCTCCTCCCTCCTCCTCCTCCTCCTCTCCTCCTCCCCTCCTCCCCTCCTCCTCCTCCTCCTCCTCCTTCCCCTCTCTCCTCCTACCCCTCCTACTTCCCCTCATCCTTCCCTCCTCCTCCCCTCCTTCTCTCCTCCCCTCCTCCTCCTTCTCCTCCCCTCCTCCCCCTCCCCCTCCTCCTCCCTCCCCTCCTCCTCCTCCTCCTCCTCCTCCTCCTCTCCTCCTCCTCCTCCTCCTCCTCCTCTCCTCCTCCTCCTCCTCCTCCTCCTCCCCCCCCCCTAGCGGCGGCCAGCAAAGGCGGCGAGGGCCATGGACTTCAAGTGCGGGCTGCGCCTGGAGGCCTCCGCCCCTCCCCCAGGGGCCACCGCTGCCGCGAGAGCTCCGCGCGGCCCCGCACGGGCGCCGCGAGCGACGACGACGCCGACGCCGCCGACGCTGACGCCAACGCCGACGCCGACGCCGACGCCGACGCCGACGCCGACGCCGACGCCGACGACGACGACGACGACGACGACGGCGACGACGATGACGACGATGACGACGACGACGACGACGACGACGACGGCGCTGCGAGCGGCGCTGGCGAACGGTCGACGGGCCCAGAGATCCGACGCTCCGATCCCAATCTACTTCCAGCGCCCCTCCTACTTCACAAGAATCGATATGCTTTTGCTGTGTGCTCTTTTGCCCTGGGAGGGCCTGCACCCAATCTACTTGATCCGCCTGCCTACCCCTTGTTTCTACCTACCTCTTCCAGCCGACGTGTGAGGACGAGCGACTTTCCAAGGTTATCTTTGCATCATTCCCCTTCGGCCCTCGGCCCATCCTGGGCCGCTTTCGCTGGCCGCGCCCCGCTTGCAGAGTGCCGACGTGGCCCCAGAGATCCGACGTTCCGAAAAAGTTGGAGTGGCCGACTTTCGGCCGGCCTCCAGGGGCCCTCGCCGGGCCTCGGGACCGTCGAAAAAGTATTCAGGAGTAAAAACCGTCCCTGGTCGGGGGAGCGTAAGACCCGGGTTTGCCAGGACTCGGGTTCGCCATCGTTTTTTGACGACCGCGACTCGGATTTTGACGAGGAGGAGTTTCGTGGGATGTCTGCAGCGGGAGGCCTCGTCAAAATGCAGGCTCGGCCTCGTCATTTTTTTTGACGACCTCGTCGGGGATTTCCGAGTCCCCCGTACCCGGGTCTTACGTCTCCCCGATCCAGGGGCCCTCGCCGGGCCTCGGGACCGTCGACAAAACTATTCAGGAGTAAAAACCGTCCCTGGGGAAGTGGTCCAGGCCTCCGGGGCCCGCGCATCGGAAAGATGGCAGCGGCCGGATGGCTGGGCCCTCCCAAGGCCTTGGCATCTTCGTCGCGCGTCCTAGATGCAACATCGGAGTCAATCACGACCGGACCCCTGGACCCCATCGTTTTGCGTCATTTTTCGAGCTGGATCGATCCGTGAGGGTCCCGGGGCCCAAAATTGAGCGCAAGCGCCCATATCGGATCGGAAAAGTGCAGGGACACCCCGAGCCGCTTCCTGCCCGCCCAGGGGGGGGGGCGCGGGAGGGCTCCGCTGGCCCCCGAGCGGCGGGGAACATCCGGGACCCGCCTCAGGACCCGCTGCCAGACAGTCTCCGATGCAGTCAGCACATATGATAAGAACGCATCCTCGATCGACTGCAAAGGACGCCGAGTCGAGTCGAGTCGTCGCCGTCCTCCTAGATCCTCCATCCCCGATCCCCGTCCGGGAACATGAACATGACCGTGAAATGTTATGTTCGCCACCGCCACCGCGCACATGTTTATGTCGACACTCTTCGGGGCAGGTTCGCGTTCAAAAGAATTGTGTTGATATATTGTATGTCGCCGCGCCGTTCTGCTCCAACGCGCGGCCTTACGTCTTGGGGAGTGCGCTGCGGCCACTACTGTCGGGGCCCTGAAGAAGGAACCCTTTTCGTTGGGGAGGGGCTCCGCGTTCCTTAAGTGTTTCGCAGCTTGCCTAGGATTTTCCTCAGGTTTTCGATACGAAATCGAAGTTCAACTTATGGAAAATAGGGGCCTCGTTCCTTATTTAGGGTTCCTTAGGTCAACGTCCCGACTGTATTATAGGTCGCCGCGCCGTTCTGCTCCAACGCGCGGCCCTTACGTCTTGGGGAGTGCGCCGCGGCCACCACGGAGGGCGCCTCGAACGCGCTGATGCAGCTCACCGCGGGGGTATCGCCGCGGGTCGCCGGCTGCGTCGCATTGGGGCTTTTGGGGCGCAGGTCTCGCCGTGGGTTTTTGTTTTGGTGTCGGCGTCGTCGACTTCCTCCTCCGCCTCCTCCTCCTCCTCCTCCACAATTACTCAATATGAAAATACTCTCCCTCTTCCCCTGATGGCGTCCGGGTGATGGCCGCGCACCCTCCGCGTACTGTTTTTTAACACACAGGATGCCCGGGAAATCCCGGGAAACGACTCTCGCTGAGGCGCCGGCGTCATTTTCGGGCCGAACGCCCCCCGCGTATTGTTTTTTTACACACAGGATTCCCGGGAAACGGGTTTTCGCCTTCGTTTTTCTTCAAAATGATGCTTTCGCTGAGGCGCCGGCTTCATTTCTGCTCCCGAATCCTTCCGAATCGTGCTCCCGCTGCAGCGTGGGCCTCATTTTCGGATCGGTGTTTGGCCTCCGTCGTTGAGGATTGCGTTCTCGCCCCAGCGCGGGCCTCTTTCTCGCGCGCCCATCCGCCCGCCACCACCGCGCCGCACCACCACCACCACCACCACCACCACCACCACCACCACCACCACCACCACCACCACCACCACCACCACCACCACCATCACAACCACCACCAGCACCACACCACCACCAGCACGAGCACCAGCACCAGCACCACCACCACCACCACCACCACACACCACGCACACACGCACGCACGCACGCACGCGCGCACCACCACCCACTACGCACGCGCGCGCGGAGCCACAGGTCCGCTACGACACGCGTCCGCGGATAGAGAAAATCAGCGCCATGGTAAGGGATGGGAGGGAGGGGTAGGACGTCAGATATGACGCGAGCGCACCTAGCTTGTCCCCTCCCCCTCCCCTCCCCCTCCTCCTCCCTCCCTCTCTCCCCCCCCCCTCCTCCTCCTCCTCCACTTGGGTGCGTCGAGCACAAACGGCACGGGACAATTTTTTCCGTCGCAGCGCGGCAGATGCAGCCCGCACGCGCGCGCAAGCAAGTTGGGCAGGCGCGGAACCGCATGCTCGTGTGCGGACACTCCTCGAGGCAGGCTCGCGAGCGTGAGACGTGAAGCAAAACTGTGTAGATGTCCTGTGCACAAGCATAGCACTGGTGTGTGTAGAACTGTGCAGATGGTGTTCTGCATATGAACATGGCACTGGCGTGAGAGGCGTGAAACAGCATTGTGTAGATGTTCTGTACCTGAGCTCACCACCCACCAGACCACCCCAACCCAACCCGAAGGCTCAGATTTACCCTCGATTTCCAGTGGGGGGGTCGGAAAACACAGAGAAAACACATGTGGAACCCTTACCTCCCCCAACCCGAAATTCGGGTCTTCGGGTTGGGTTGGGGTGGTCTGGTAGGTAGTCATGAGCATAACACTGGTGTGTGTAGAACGGTGGCTCCCCGCCCGCTGCCCCGCCCCCCCCCGCCCTCCCCGCGCCGCCTCTCGCCGCCCGCGCCGCCCAGTGCCGGGACTGCGAGGGCTTCCGGGGCTGGGAGCCGCAGGGGCGCCTCGCCGCCCACGCCGAGACGTTCGAGGCGGCCCTGCCGCGGGTCACCAGCCTCGAACTTATCCCTATCCCTAAGATTGACACGCCAAAAGGCGATGACAATCTTAGGGATTCGCCCTCAAAACATAAGGGAATGTCTAAGATTGGCATCGTGATGAGGAGACGTCCAGCATAGGGATAGGGATATGTTCCAGGCTGGTAAACCGCCCCCGCCGGGGGAGGTGCAGCGGCCGCGGCCAAGGGAGGATCGGCGGCGGCCGAGGGGGAAGCGCGGAGGTGCACGCGAAAATCAGGCTCATGAGGTTCCAACCTGTTCTCTCGCCTGGATCACCGGAGGCGACAAGTTGGAGCACCGGGAGCGTAACTGCCGAAACCCGAGGGTCTGCGCGCATGGGGCCCTGGGTGGCGATACTCCTTCGACGCTGTTTCGATACTTGTCTGAGTGGCCGGAATTATTTCCGGGATGCGGCCCTCAAGTATGATGAGAACAGCATACGTATTCTCAGACGGCGACGCATACACATTCGCCCACCAAAAACAAACGCACAGACAAATTCACACACGCACGCACGCACGCACGCACGCACGCACACACGCACACACACAGACACACACACACACAAACACGCCCACACCCACGCACACGCACACGCACACGCACACGCACACGCACACGCACGCACACACACACACGCACTCACACACACACACACACACACACGCAAACGCACACGCACACGCACACGCACACGCTAACGCACACGCGCACACACACACACCACACCCACGCACATGCACACGCACATACACATGCACACGCAGGCACGCACACGCGTACACACGCTCACGCACACGCACACGCATACGCACACACACACAAACACGCCAACACCCACGCACACGCACACGCACACGCACACGCACACGCACACGCACACGCACACGCACACGCACACGCACACGCACACGCACACGCACGCCCCCCCACCACACACCCCACACACACACACACACACACACACACACACACACACACACACACACACACACACACACACACACACACACACACACACACACACACACACACACACACACACACACACACACACACACACGCAAACGCACACGCACACGCACACGCACACGCTAACGCACACGCGCACACACACCACACCCACGCACATGCACACGCACATGCACATGCACACGCAGGCACGCACACGCGTACACACGCTCACGCACACGCACACGCACACGCACACGCACACGCACACCACGCCCACCACGCCCACGCCCACGCCCACACACACACACACACACACACACACACACACACACACACACACACACACACGCCCACACCCACACCCACGCACACACACACACATACGCATACACGCACACGCTCGCACACGCGCACACGCACACACGCACACGCACACGCACACGCCCACGCTAACGCACACGCACACGCACCCGCACGCCAAAAACATACACACACAATGTTCCGAAGGTCCGCACGGACTCCTCGGATCGGCGCTGCACCTGCGGACTTCCTGGCTCGGCGCGGGGCCCTTTCTCCCTGGCGCGGGAGATGTGCGCCCAGGCGGCGGCGCCAGCAGCGCTGCAAAGCGAGGGTCAAGCGTGGGCCCAAGAACTTCAGTCGAGGCTGTTTAGTAGGTCGACCGTGCCAAATCGAGGGTACCCTCGTGTCCTATGCCAGGGTCGTTGGGTTCAGCCTCTGTCCGTGCTTCAGACTTCGCCCTCTCGGTGGATCGCCCACCCCCACTCGTCGCCGTCATCCGTCGCCTATTGGGGTCAGCTTGGAGCCATCGCGTGGTCGCATCAGGATCGCGGGGTCAACTTGGGGTGCCTGGGCAGGGCTGTGCATCCGCATTTGTGTGAGACATCTTCGCAATTGAGTGCCCATGTTTCAGGTCAGCTATGTTTCTGGTCTCGCCTCGTCTTTTTCACGCCTGGGAGCGCGTATGAACACTGCGGTCTCCAAGACCCCTCGTCCTCCTCCTTCCCCGTCCTCCCTCTATGTCATCGTCGTCCTGCCTCTTGCTTCTCTTCCGTGGGGGCTGCGAAATGCGAAATTGTCGCCACTATCGTAGGCCATACGGAGGTCCAGCGGAGTGATGTCCCACGGCGATCAGAATGGGACCTCGCCGTTCCTGGGAGCTGCGAATTGCGCAGCTGTCGCCTCTTTCGTGGGCCCCTGGGCGGTCCAGCGGAATGGGGTGCTCCAGGTCGTCCTGGAGGGCTGAGGCTGAAGCCATTAATTTTGGAATAGCGTTCCAAACACATTCAGCTCCAGGTTTTGGAATGTCGTTCCAAAAGCAGTCACTCTTAGATTCTGGAATACCGTTCCAAACACAATCAGCCCCAATTTTTGAGCCTACGCTATCTGTTCACTGCTACCCGCCGCCGTCGTCCTCGGCAGGTTTAGTCGGGAACCAGGGGGGGACAAGTTTGCTATCGCGTTGTGGTGTTCATTTTCGCCGTCGTCGTCCGGCAGTTGTGTCCGGAACCAGGGGGGAATTTTGTTAACGTGTTGTGGTCTTCATTTTCGGGTCGTCGTTGTCGTCGGCAGGCTGTCTGGAATCATCCTCCATCGGGCCGCTCTCGCATGGGACCTTGGAGACGAGCGCAAAGAAGTGTGAGGGAACGGGACGCAGGACGAAGGATTAGGAAGGGGAGGGCGGGGGGAGAAAAGGGGTTGTGAGTGGGGGGCGAGGGGGGGATGAGCAGGATGAGGGCGTGGAGGATAACAATGACGACGACGAAGGGTAGAGAAGGAGTGCACAGGGGAAACGAGAAACATGATGACTTCTGGGCCGCCCACCTTGTTGCTTTCCAGGGGTTCGCAAGGCCATCGGAAGCCGAACGGCGAGTACCGTTGCGAAATCATCCCTTGGGTTTGCGGCCTTTCGGGGGCGTCCCTTGGCAGCGAGGCCGTAGGCACCTCAAGCCGTCCCAGCGCCCTCATGGAGCTTGAAGCTATTTCAACTCCAAATTCTTCAAACAGTGCCTGCATTCAGGCTTCTTTTTGTGTGATCACAGGAGCTGGGACAGGGTGGGGGGCTGGCGGCTGTGTGGCCGCCGTCGCCGCCCCGTCGCTGCCTCGTCGCCGCCGGTCGCCTGGGCCTGGCTGGCGGTATGTCGGCTATGTGGCCGCCGTCGCCGCCCTGTCGCCGCCTCGTCGCCGCCCCCCGTCTGGGCTTGGTTTGCGGTCTGGCGGCTGTGGCCGTCTTTGCCGCCGTCGATCGTCGCAGCTGCTCAGCTTGCACATAGCTTGCACCGCAAATATTGATTCAGAGCCACGTATATTGCTTAACGTCGCGTGCGCCACAGAGATTGCACCACATATATTGCTTAACTGAGTTCGAAGCATACAAGGTGCACCACATATATTGGATATCATCTATTGCGCCACAACGATTGCACAACATAGCTTACATCACATCTGTTGCACCAATCAACTTGTACCACATATATTGCACCACGAGGCTTGCACTACATAGACAGGTAGATCGCACCACAGAGCTTGCACCACACATACTGGGCCATCTATGTTCATGTGTTGCCCCACAGATCGTACTCCACGCAGCTCACACAACATATACTGCACCAGCTATAAGATCCACATGGCACCAAATACATTACATCACGTAGCTCGCACCACATGGCTTGCACCACATAGATTGCACCGCAAATATTGCGCCACGTGCCCAGACCACGTAGATAATACCACACAGGTTGCACTACATATAATGCACCTCGTAGGTACCATCACAAATATTACACCACCTACCTCGCATCACATAGCTTGCACCACGTAGATGTGTATCCACGTTGGCTAACATTCGACCTCGTTGCCAGATTGTGCAGGCTATCCCATGCGATCAGGGGCAAGACTGGTGTTGTCACGGGCAGCCTTAATGGATCGCGGCCGCTCCGTCCAGAAACCCCGGGAGGGAGCATGGGAGAGGGATTCAAGGGGAATGCCCTCATTCCTATGGATGCGGGCCTTCCGGTGAAGCGCAGGCGAGGACAAAGAGGGAAGTGACGGAGGGGAGGCAAGGGAGGAGGGGGAGGATGAGGAGAACTGGGAGGATCGCGCGCCATTATTGGAAACGAGAAAACGAGAGAACGTCCCACGGGTCTAAAACGACCCTGGGACAGGGGGGCCATCGGAGAGGACTTCTTCGTCACCTCTCCTCGCTATGGGGCCACGAAACGTGTGAGGGAGGTGCGGAAACGGATAGGGAACCGCATGTGGAGCCTCCCGCTGGGGCCTTCGGTGGATCTCCCTATGGGGCCACGAACCGTGTAAGGGGTATGGGAGCCGCATATGTGCCCTCCCACTGGGCCTTTCGGTGGAGCTCCCTCTGGGGCCACGAAGCGCGTGATGGGCGGAGAACCGCACGTGGATCTTCCCAATGGAGACTTCGGTGGAACTCCCTATGGGGCCACGACGCGTGCGAAGGTTGTATGGGGCCACGAAGCGCGTGAGAAGTGAGCCGGCATGAGAGGGAAGTCGCATTGGGCTTTCCTGTGGCTTTGGAATGCTATCGAACGCGACGCGGCGAGACAGCAAATAGAATGTCCGTTGGGTTTGTGGACCGTTTGGGCCTCTCGGGGGCTACCGGGGGAACTCTGTAGCCACTTCGGCCCGTTCCAACGTTCCTCACGGGGCCTCTTGGAGGCAGGTCGGAGGCCATACCCACTGCAAGTCGAACCTTGTTGTGCGATTTTCGGGGCCGTCCTCGACTATTTGGGGCCCCCTCGAGCCCATCATCTGAGATATTGGACGCTCTGTGTGTCTTGGCCCCCCCGTCCAGACCTCGGGCAGGGAGCGTGGAGGGTGTTCAAGGGCAACGAGAACTTGAGTGTTGAGTCCCGACCTCGGGCGGCGCTCTATTGGCCGTGGCCCCATTGCCCAGACCTTCGGGCAGGGGCAATGGAGGATAGTCTCGAGGGGGGGAAACGCTTGTTGGGTGCTCAAGAGCCCCGCGCGTTGCGCGCTTGACCCCGCGATCTTGGGGGGGGATCCCCCCCTCCAAGATCGCAGGGTCAAGCGTGAGACCCTGCGCTCATCCGTTCTCCCACGACAGGTGTGAGCGCGCTGAGTGCGCTCACGCTTGTCGTGGGAGAGCGGATGAGCGTGGGGTCAAGCGCGCAACGCGCGGGGTCTTTCGAGCCGGCTGGCTCATGAAAAGACACCGCGCGTTTCGCACTGAGCCCCGAGCTTCCAGGGGGGGTGGGAAAGACCCCGCGCGTTTCGCGTTGAACCCCACGCTTCCAGGGGGGGGGGGGGGGGGGCGAAAAGACTCCGCGCGTTTTGCGCTGAAACCCCCGCGCTTCCAGGGGGGGCGAGGGGGGGGGGGGCGAAAAGACCCCGCGCGTTTCGCGCTGAACCCCGCGCTTCCAGGGGGGCGGCGAGGGAGGGGGGGGGGCGAAAAGACTTCGCACGTTTCGCGCTGAACCCCGCGTTTCCACGGGGAGGGGCGAGGGGGCGGGGTGGGGGGCGAAAAGGCCCCGCGAGTTTCGCGCTGAACCCCGCGCTTTCACGGGGGGGCGAGGGGTGGGGGGGGCGAGAAGACCCCGCGCGTTTCGCTCTGAACGCGCGGGGAATTGCGAGCGCGTGACGACGACGACGACGACGACGACGACGACGACGACGACGACGACGGACGACGAAAACGACAACGATGACGACGACGACGACGACGACGACGACGACGACGACGACGACGACGACGACGACCGATGGCCGACGACCGACGGTCGACGACGGACGACCGACGACCGACAACCGACGACCGACGACCGCGACCGACGACCGACGACCGACGATGACGACGACGACGACGACGACGACGACGACGACGAGGACGACGACGACGACGACGGACGACGACGACGACGACGACACGACGACGACGACGACGTCGACGACGACCACGACGACGACGACGACGACGGCGACGACGGCAACGTTGACGACGACCGACGACCGACGACCGACGACCGACGACGACGACCGATGACGATGGCGACGACGACGACAACGACAGTGACGACAATCGACGACGATGACGACGAGAACGGCCGGCGACGACGACGAAAGCGACGATGACGACGACGACGGCGACGACCGCGACGACCGACGACGACGACGACGACGACGACGACGACGACGGCGACGACGACGACGGTGACGACGACGACGACGACGAGCCACGACGACGACAATGACGACGAGACGACGACGCCGACAACGACGACGAGCCACGACGACGACGAAACGGCGACGACGACGACGACGACGACGACGACGGCGGCGGCGGCGGCGGTGGCGGCGGCGGCGGCGGTGGCGGCGGCGGCGGCGGCGGCGGCGACGACGACCATGACCACGACGACGCGATGACGACGCGATGACGACGACTCGTCCTGTTTCGACGACGGCGATCACGACGACGAGCGACAAGCGACGACGACGACACGCAGACGACCGCGACGACGACCCACATAGAAGAGGACTGCGACGACGACGGCGACGGTGACGGCGACGACGACTGTGGCGGCCGGACTCAACCAGCCGACGACGGCGACGACGACGGCGAAACTGAAAACCACAACACATTAACAAAGTTGCCCCCCTGGCTCCATACTAAAACCTGCCGAGGACGACGACGACGACGGCGAATTTGAAAAAAAAACACAACACGTTAACAAAGTTGCTGAACCTGCCGACGACGACGACGACGACCGCGGCGAAAATAAAAACCACATCACGTTAACAAAGTTGCCCCCCTGGTTCTGGACTGAACCTGCCGAGGACGACGACCACGGCAAAAATGAAGACCACAACACGTTAACAAAGTTCCCCCTGATTCTGGACAGCTTGCCGACGACGACCACGGCAAAAATGAAGACCACAACACGTTGACAAAGTTCCTCACCAGGAGGAGGAGGAGGAGGTGGAGGAGGAGGAGGAGGAGTAGGAGCGTGGGGAGGAGCAGGAGGAGGAGGAGGAGGAGGAGGAGGAGGAGAAGGAGGCCGGAAGAGGAGGAGGAGGAGGAGGAGGAGGAGGAGGAGGAGGAGGAGGAGAAGGAGTAGGAGGCGGGATGAGGGGGAGGGAGGTATGGAGGAGGAGGAATAGGAGGAGGATCACTGCAGAAGCCGTGCGCACCACCACGGACACGTCCTTGGTTAGGAACGCGGGTGGCAAAATGGTACATCTTGCCACGAGGACGCACACAGCAACGCAGCCATCATCAGTTACATCATTGTCATTCGCACTGCCTGTCATCACCACTCCATGTGCGCCGGGGCTCCTCATCTAGGGCATATCAGACGCAATGTAGCGGGCCATGTGAGCCCCAGGAGATGTCTGCAGACTGCGCACAAGCGCAGTTTCTCCCATGTCAAGAGGTTCGTCGCACACCGCGCACTCGCTTTTGGCCCTCCTCATTGCGTTTTTTCATGTGCACGAAGATCTGATGGAGCTTCCTGGGATTGATGATCGTGGGGTTCTGGGGGGACAGCGGTGACATGCTTTCGGTCTTGATTGCCGGTGCCGCCGCGCAGTATGAGGAAATAGAAAATGTTGTGGGAAGGGAGGCAGGAAGAGGAGGAGGAGGAGGAGGAGGAGCAGCAGCAGCAGCACCAGGAGGAGAGGGACCAGCTGGGGCTCCTGACGCCAGGGGCAGGAGCAGGCATCAGCGGGGTAGTGAGCGGGGACTCGGAGCACTTGCGCTGCTAGAGTGCTCCCTCTACCTGCACAGGTGGACGTGGCCATCGAGCCCGACCCGCTGACCTCGCTGCTCGACTTCGGAACGGTCCGCCTCGCCTCGCGGGGCGGGGCTCTTGAATCGCCTGCCCAGTGCGTCCCTCCGGCTCGCCTGTCCGTCCTCTGCGTGCCCTCCCGCCTGGCGTGCCCATGGAGGCACGATAAAACGCGGAGTGGCCAGCGTGATGAGCGCGGAGTGGCCAGCGTGAGAAGCGCGGAGTGGCCAGCCTGACGTCTTTGCGTTGCTTGCAAGCAGATGCAGTGGGGGCCCATGCCGAGAAACGCCCTGCTGGCCTCCAGGGTGCCCTGAGTTCCCTGGGTTTCGATGGTCTTTCTATGGAAAGCGCGGCGCTCCCACACCAAAACTCAATGGACGTCCTGGGGCTCCAGGGTTGGGCTTCTTGTAGAAGGTCCCTTGCGGACGGGCGTCCACTGTATTTTCGAGGTCCGCACGGTGTCCTGGAGCTGCGCCGGGCGCCCCCCACGGCGCCCCTGCCGCGCTCCGCGCGCCAGGGAGGCGCGGCGGGCGCCGCTGCGAGGAGTCCGCGCGGACCCTTGGGAGGTTTGTGTGTGTGTGAGTGTGTGTGTGTGTGTGTGTGTGTTTGCGTGTGTGTGTGTGTGTGTGTGTGTGTGTGTGTGCGTGCGTGCGTGCGTGCGTGCGTGCGTGCGTGCGTGCGTGCGTACGTGTGTGTGTTCGTGTGTGTGCGTGTGTGTGCGTGTGTGTGCGTGTGTGTGTGTGTGCGTGTGTGTGTGTGTGTGTGTGCGTGTGTGTGTGTGTGTGTGTGTGTGGAAGTCCTGGCGTTGTGATGCTCCAACCTACTCTAGCTCTGACCACCCGAAAGAACGTCGAGCACCACGAAGGTGCAGAGACTGGAGGGCTTTCGCGCGTCGGACCCTGGGAGACAGTGCTCGCTCGACACTGCCTCGATGCTTTTCTTCTGGGTGCTCTAGGGGGCCACATGCGAACCCTACCCCTACCCCCCACGATTTCTGAGGGGGAGGGCGGGCTTCACTCCGCTCGGGAGCTCCCGAACGGAGTGAACCCCACCCTCCCCCTCAGAAATCGTGGGGGCAGGGGTATAGGCTTCGCACGTGGCCCCCCTTATGCTCGAAATTATCGGTTGGCACGCCCGACCTGGAGCAGTTTTTCTCATGCAGAGGCCAGCTCGGCGCGGCGCCGGCCTCGCCTGCGGGGCAGGCCCGCAGGGCGCGGAGGTATACACCTTAGGCGATGCTTAAGAAAACCAAAGTTTTCGGCCAGAGTCTCGATTATTCTTAATGTTTCAATGTAGATCCTAAGATTTTAATAGAAACGTTTGGTTTTTATTCAAGTTCTGAGACTATGATTTTCTTAACCCATGATTTCTTAAGCATTTCGCAGGGTGTACACATGGTTCGTTTCTAAGCGTTCGAAAGTTCTTTGGTTTTCGGGGGGCCAGGATCCTCTCATTTCTGATCCTTCCAGCCTGGGCCTCTTCCTGGCCACCTGAGGGCCAGGAACCATGAGAAACGAGCACAGTTTGAGATGAGCACGATCTTGAAACGAGCGACGCGTGGCTGCGGCATCGTGGGGCGCGATGCGCGAAGACAGGTGACCCAGGTTCTGCAGGGTACTTCCCTAGTGTGCCTTGCGGGAAGCGTGTCCCTTGCCAGGGTTGGCCAGAGGGGCTAGCCTGGAGTCGGGTCTGTCCCTCTACAGGAGAAAAATGCAGAAAGTAGTCAAAAGATCGTCTGGGTAGATCATTCGATTTAGTTTACGACTTCAGAATCTATGTTCGCCATGCTTCATTTCTCTTTCAAAATCCGCCTGTAGGAGGACATGCCCGACCTAAGGCTAGCCAGGAGGTTTGGCTGGGGTTGGCCTGATGGGTCGGGCCAGCCAGAGGGTTGGCCGAAGGTTTGACCGGGATCGGTCTTCGACAGGCAGCTTTCGTCTCCGCAAGTTATATATATATATATATATATATATACACACATACATACGAAAAACAACAACAAACAAACAAAACAAGCGCCCGTGTGGGCGCAACTACAGTGCGACTTTGGCCTGCTCGCTCGCGGACGCCTTCGGCGGGCTCCCCCCCCCGCGAGGTGCTCGTGCACTCCTCGGTGGAGCGCACCTTCGAGGTCCTCAACCGCGGCCGCTTCGCCGCCCGCTACGAGGCCGGGGCCCCCGCGGGGCCTCGCTGCGGCGGGCCGTGCGCCGGCGCCGCGCTGTCGCTGCATGCCAGGGGGTGCCACCTCACGGGCGTATGTGTTCACACTCGCCCTCGGTTCACGAGCAAGCCTCGCCTTCGATGATGGGCCAATTTTCCGCTGCCACTACCGTAGGTAGGACTGGGGAGAAAGGAGCATGGGGAGCTCCTCCTCCCCCTCCTCCTCCTCCTCCTCCTCCTCCCTCCTCCTCCTCCCTCCTCCTCCTCCCCCTCCTCCCCCTCCTCCTCCTCCTCCTCCTCCCCCTCCTCCTCTCCTCCTCCTCCTCCCCACGCTCGGCTCCTCCTCCTCCTCCTCCTCCTCCTCCTCCTCCTGCTCCTCCTCCCCCTCCTCCTCCTCCTCCTCCTCCTCCTCCTCCTCCTCCTCCTCCTCCTCCCTCCTCCTCCTCCTCCTCCTCCTCCTCCTCCTCCTCCTCCTCCTCCTCCTCCCTCCCCCACACATGGCAGTGGCGGTGGAAAAATGGCCCACCATTCGAGGATTGAGGGATACCTGCCCAGGCTCGCCGTGACCATTCTCTCGCTCGCGGGGGGCGCTCCAGCCAGGGCCTCGCTCTCTCCAGGGCCGGCGGAGTGCCCGCACACCGTGCGGCCGGCTCCCCGGGGGCCCCCCCCCCCGCGGCGGAGGCCGGCGGAGGGCCCGCGGAAGCCCGCCGAAGGTCGCCCCCCCGATCGATGCATATTTTTGGGGGCGCAGGTCGGCTTTGAGTACTCCAGATTTCGTGATAAAAGGGAGGGGGTCTGGACCCTCCAAGACAAGCCATTTCAGACCTCCCCCGTGGGAGAACCCTCCAAACCATCGTCCCCAGACCCCCCAGGCCCCCCAAGATAGCCTGGAAGAGACCCCCCCCGAAATGAGACCCCCTCCCTTTTATTACGAAATCTGGAGTATGTTCCTGGGCCAGGTCCCCCGCCTTTCTGTAGAGTTGCACGCAGTAACCTGGCAACTTCATGTTCTGGTCGTCGGTGCAACTTTGTAGGAGTCGGCGCGTCGCCCATGGCGGCCAGCCGATCCCAAACAGACATTGCAGACTGAAAGAGAAACTGGCACGCCTCCCGAGTGCCCTGCGCCCCGATCCTCTAGACCTGGCCTCCTGGTCATGCTCAAGGTCGGCTGCGAGTCCTGGGGGGGGAAGTGGGAGGGGGCTGCGGTCAAGATTTATATCCATATCCAGTGCGTCTTGGACTTTCTTGGAAGGCGCGCCACAAGGCTGGGGCGCACTGGATGTGGGTGAAAATCTAGCCTCCAGGGGCCAGCACCTTGATCCATATCCATATCCAGTGCGCCTCGGGGTTCTGGGGAAAGGAGCCCTGGAACTCCAAGCTGCTGTGGATATGGACAGAAGTATTGCCCGCAGGGGCGGGCGTTCTCTGAAGGCTCGGAAGTCCCTTGGCTCTGTGAGAATTTTTCCAGGCCTTCCCCGAAGGCACAGGAATCCTTTCAGAAGGCCAGAGGCCTTCTGAGAAGCCCCGCCGTCTTCTAAGAGGGCCTTCTCCTTGACACTTCCCCCCTTTTTCCCTCCCCGCCGATCAGAGTTCCCAGACCTCCTCTAGTCAGGATAAAAACACGACGGGAGTTGTTTTTGCTATTTTCGGTCTTCGCGGGGGCCGCTATACCAGGCCTCGGGGCCGTCCAAGGTTCAAGGAAAAAAACGCCCGTCCCAGGGAAAGAGTCCAGACCTTGGGGGGGTCGACGTTGTGAACAAATTATGACGTCAGGGGGTTGGGTTCTCGGAGCCCAGCACATGTGGATAACCCTCGCCTTCGGTGCACATGCAAGCCCAGCGTCGTCCACGACAGGGTCGGCAGAAGCCAGAGCGCATGAGCGTCAGAGGATAGTCGCGGCAGTGTTTTGCATGCGTGTGGGCGTGGCTCGTACACACACCTGGCGTTGATCATACAGTTGATATCATTTTTCTTCTTCTGTGACTGCATTGGCGCGATCAGGAGGTCGTTTCGTTGAGTGAAGCGGATGCTGATGTGGCTGTCGCGATCGATGCCTGAGCCGCGGACTGCGGTTGGCTCATTCGATGCGTTCTCGTAAGAGAGAAGAGTGCGTACAGGGTGGAGGCGTCGGAAGCGTACTTTGGGACTCCTTCGCTTAAGCCAACCAGCCCCTCCCGAAACGTCTCTTTCGGTGAGCTGCCGTCCGCAGGGACGCCGAGGAGCATCCAAGAGCCTCGTGGTCGTTTTCGTCTTCGCTGTGTTGCCGACCGGCGCGGGCCCTCGCCTCCCCGCCCCTTCCCCCCCCATAGAGTAGATCTTGGCTGTTTTTGGCGCCTGTTTCAAACAGGTGGAGTCTTCCCCCATAGGACGCACTGTCGCACACAGTCGCATTAAGCAGAGGTCCGGAGCCAGACATCCCCTCCCCCCCCCCTTTCCGCCCAACATCGAAACGCCGAGTAAGAAAGCGCCTACCTCTCGGAGGCCTCCTGGAGGATCTCCTGGGGCTTTCCAGGAAGCCTCGGGGGCCGGTTCCAGAGGGAGTCGACGAACCGCCAGTCGTTGAGCACGCGGCCTCGTTGCCCAGATGTGAGGGCGCCCCTCCCGCGCTTCTTAGACAGGTAGCCCTCGGATGGGGCCAGGACGAGGATATAAGCCCGTTCCAGAGCGTTCCAGAACGCTCTCAGAGCGTTCCGGAACGCGCTGAGAAGGCCGCGGCGCCCGATACATGACCCAGAGTCGCCGGGCTTCAGAGATTCTGGATTTATCCTCAGCCAATGTTATCCCTGTCCTGGTTTCATCCTGAGCCAGCAGTGGATAGGGGGTCAGCGCTGACGGGGGTCGGCGAAATCCCCGCCGCTATCCTCTGGCCCGCCCTGGATTCGGGATCACCTGGAGCCGATCCCCCCATCCACCTACAGTCCACCTGCATAGGAAGGATGAGCAACTTTCCAAGATTACACGTCGGTCGTTGAAGTAGGTGCTTTTGAATGCCCAAGTCCTAAATCTCCTTTGGGCGGTTTCCTACATCAAGAATCGAGTGGTTGTCCATCTTCCTTCCTCTTCAGGGGGGCGGGTGGAAGCCCAATCTACTACTAATGCCTTCTCGCTTCATGTTTCTACCCACTTCTTCCGATCGATGGGCATCCTTGCATCCTTGCCCCCTCCGGCCCACGGAAGCCCAATCTACTACCACCGCCTTCCCACTTAATGTTCCTACCCACTCCTTCCGATCGATGGGCATCCTTGCATCCTTGCCCCCTTCCAGCCCATCCCTGGCAACCTTCGCTGGCCAGGCCCACTCGAAGAACGTCCACGTGGCTTTCCAAGGCTCTTGCACCCTTTCCGCGCATCCGTGCTGCTCGGGTTGACAAAGCCCTCGCGTGGCTGTCGCCCAAGCTGCGCGCTTCTTCTGCGAAGCGCGCGCAAGGCCAGCGCCGGTCGGGCCTGCAGTGGCTTGGCGGGCAAGACCGGGGAGGGAGGGGTCGGCGGCGAGCGAGGGGGTTAGGGCGAGAAGGAGAAGGCCTTCTCGGAAGGCGGCGGGACTGCTCAGAAGCCCATCGCGCCCTCTGAGGAGTTGTCCGCGTCTTCGGGGAAGGCTTGTTTGGACGCAACTCCTGGGAGGTCAGATTCTGTTTTCGCCCTGGTCCGAAATCCGGCCTAATCCAGCATAATCCCGCCTAGTACGGCTTGATCCCGCTGAATCCCGCTTACTCCGTAATCCTGCTTAGTTCGAGGCCCACCCTGGCGTAACTGCCTCCAAATGGGGCTTGATCCTCCTTCGTCTTTCCGACGAGACCCTCCCAGCAGTGGCCTCCCAAGGCCTGCAGGGAAGCTCCTCCGGACCCCCGGGGGGCTGCCGAGCCTTCCGAGGAGGCCCGCCCCTGCGGGAGCTGCCTCGTGGCTGGGGCAGGCTCATGGCGCGTCCGCCCGAGCGCCTCTGGGCCTGCCGAGCGCCCACCGGGCCAGGGCGCCATGCCCCCGGGGGGGAAGGCGGACTCGGCAGCGGCGCGGAGGCAGCTCGTGGGCGAACCGCAGGAGGGGACGACCACACACGCTCACACACACACAGAGACGCACAGACGCACACGCGCACACACACACACACACACACGCACACACACGCACACACACGCACACACACGCACACACACGCACACACACGCACACACACGCACACACACACACGCACAAACACGCACAAACACAAGCACAAACACAAACACACGCACAAACACGCACATACGCACACACGCACACACACAAACACAAACACACGCACAAACACGCACACACGCACACACGCACACGCACACAAACACAAACACACGCACAAACACAGACACAAACACAAACACAAGCACACAAACACACAAACACACACAAACACACACGCACGCGCACCCGCACACGCAGACACACACACACACACATACACACATACACACATACACGCGCACACACGCACACACACACACACGCACGCACGCACGCACGCACGCACGCACGCACGCACACACAGGCACACACAGGCACAGACACAGACACAATTTTTCGTCGATTCATTGGCTTACGCCACACCGCCGACCCCTTGGGGCGGCTGCGATCGTCCCCCGCGTGGCCTGTCTGGACAGCCTGTGAGGCCCCTCTGGACACGTTTCCCAGCCCTCTTAGGACTGTCCTGCCGTTCCCCCAGGCCGTTGCTATGGTTTCTGGGGCCTTCGTGGGGCGCCTGGAGGCCGTCGTGGAGCCTTTTGGAGAGCCTCTTGGGGTGCCAGAGGTTGATCTTGGAGGTTGACTGGGCCGTTGTGGGCCTCGTGGAAGCTCAAGAAGCGAATCTGCTGAAAATGTATGCTTTCCCAAAGGAATGGGACGGTTTTTGCTTCTGGAGGCCTGCTTGGAGCGCCTCGTGGTCGCGTACACAAGCGTCTTGGACGCCCTCTTGGCTGTCTGGAGGCAACCGTCGGCGGTTTGGACCGAGTCGTCCCCCGCGTGGGCCGTGCGGGCAGCCTTTGTGAGCCCTGTTGCCCCGTTTGTGGGTCCTCTTGGGACCGTCCTGCGGCTTTCCTGGGCCGTTGCCATGGTTTCTGGAGCCTTCGTGGGTCGCTCGGAAACTGTCTTGGAGCCTTCTTGGGAGCGTCTTCGGGTGACAGGTGACGATTTTGGAGGTTTATTGGGCCGTTATGGGCCTCGTGAAAGCCCAAGAGGCGAATGTGCTGAACATCTACGTTTTACCTAGGGAATGGGACGGTTTCTTGTGGAGGCCTTCTTGGAGCGCCTCGTGGTCGCGTTTTCAAACGTCTTGGAGACCCATGGGGCCGTCTGGCGGCGATCTTGGGCGGTTTAGACCGAACCGTCCCCCGCGTGGGCCGTCTGGACAATTCATCGTCGATTCCGACGCAAATATTGGAAAATCTAGGTGGAGAGGGGGTGGGAAAACGAAGATCCAGAACATATGGGATCTCAAGACAGCTCGCCGCTTGGGCCCCACCGCCAGCCCAAACGGCGAGCAGAAATCGGGCGTAGCCCCGCACGCATTCGAATGCCCACACTTCGTCCTCGTACTACTTGTATTCCGCCCCGTCCTCCTCATTCTGATCGTCGTCGTCGTCTTCCTCCTCGTCCTCCTCCTCGTCCTCCCCGTTTTCCTCGTCTCCCTCCTGCTCCAGCTCGGTTTCCGGTTGCGCCAGCGGTTGTGCCCTCGGCGGCTCAGAATAAAACCGTCTCCGATCGGTTGCGCCATAGGTTGCGCCCTCGGCGGCTGAGAATACAACCGTCTCCTATCGGTTACGCCATAGGTTGCGCAGTTGGCGGCCGAAAAGAATACAACCGTCTCCCATCGGTTGCGCCATATATAGGTTGCGCCCTCGGCGGCCGCGAGTAAAGCCTTCTCCGATCGGTTTCGCCATAGGTTGCGCCCTTGGCGGCCGAGAATAAAACCGTCGCGTATCGGGTGCGACCAGTCAGTTCGGTTCAGTTCAGTTCAGCTCAGTTCAGTTCATTTCAGTTCAGTCGTTTTACCTCGCGAGAAGCGAATTCGGGCTACGCCCGAAAAGAATTAGGGGATTCCTCTCGCTTCGCGGGGTGCATGTCCGGACCACGTACAGTCCAGTCGTTGTGGGGACTCCCAGGGGCCTCTGGGCGGCCTCGTGGAGGCTTCTTGGATTCGTCATTTGATGACTGGAAGCGCCTCCGGCGTGGACCGTTGGTTCTCTGGTTCTCTCGGGCATCGGCGGCCCACGAGCGACGGCAACGACAATGCTGACGAGCGACGAAAGATGACGCACGACTGCGACGATGATGACGACGATGACGCCGACGGACAACGACGACGACGAAGGACCCCCCTTCGATGACGCCGACGACGACGGCAACGACAATGACGACGAGCGACGAACGATGACGCACGACTGCGACGACGATAACAACGACGGTGACGACGAACGACGAACGACGAACGACGATGGCGACGACGACGACGACGACGTTGAACAATGATCGACGACGGCACGTCGGACGACGACGACGACGCCGACGGACGACGGACGACAGACGACGACGACGTCGAACGATGACCGACTGGCACGTCGGACGCGACGACAGACGACGACGACGACTACGAACGATAACCGATAAACGACGACGGACGAACGACGACGGACGAACGGGGGCCGTCTTTGGGGTCGTCTTCGGAGGCGACGTTCGACCCTCCTCCCGCCAGAACGATGACGACGAAGAACAAGAAGAAGATCGGGAGGGAATGGGCGCGGTTGGGAATCAGGATGACGACAACGCGGAGGACGAGGAGGGCGATGAGGGAGCCGAAGATCCAGGAGGCTTTCGCATGAATTTGCATTGTTGTGCACTGCTTGACGTTGCATTCGATTCCTTCGTCGTTGAATTATTGACGGCTTCTCTCGTCCGGCCTACAGTACTGGCTCAATGCGTCATTCGGGGCTTGCCTTTGCAACCATGGGCCCACGGGCTTGGGACGACCCCCTCGAATGCTGCAAAGCGCGTGCGAACCTACACGTGCTTCGCAATCGCGATTGCCGGTGCGGCCCGGAGTGGCTGAAGCTCCGGGGCGACCGCCTCCGAGGGGAAAAGCGGTTGCTGGTCGAGGCCGCCGACGCCGCTGCGAAGGCCGCCCGCCAGAGCCCCGGCGAGGCAGGCCAGGCCACGATGGCGGCGGCCGCCGCGGCTGCTTCAGACGCCGCGCGTCCGGCAGAGGCGCGCGGGCCGGGGGCCGCAGCAGCGGCTGCCGCGGCTGCCCCTGCCGCCGCGGCTGCTTCAGACGCCGCGCTGCCGGCAGAGGCGCGCGGGCCGGGGGCCGCAGCAGCGCCTGCCGCGGCTGCCCCTGCTCCTTCTGGAGCATCCGCGGCAGTCGCTGCGGAGGAAGAGGTGGGGGAGCTTCTGGACTCGCGGCCGCAGGCTGCGGACGCGGCGCCCTCGGCCAGGGCCAGCTCCGCGAGCTCTTCGAGCTCTTCGGACTCCTCCGACTCGGACGCTGAGGAGGGGGAGAAGGCGGAAAAGGAGGAGGGGGAGGTGGCTCCTTTCACGCCTCCGACCCCTTCTCTCGAAGCGCAGAAGCCCGCAGCGACAACCGACGCCTCCACGCAGACGGAGGCGGGGCCGCAGCTTGCCAGGGAGGCGGCCTTGGAGGCGGCCTTGCGCACGGCGGTGCGCCAGCTCCAAGGCCTGGCGATCGCGGGGGCCGCAACGCGACGCGTCGTCTTAGGAACGCGATTGCGGGGGGGGGGCCTTCAAGCAGCTGCCACGCCGCGCGTGTCCGATCCCACTGCAGCCCTGACTCCCCACGGTCGATCCACAGGCGTGTCTCGACCGCGCTTCTGGGTGAGGACCCCCGTAGTGTCCCGCGCACGTGATCAAGTCGACCTCGGAATTCCCGCCCCCCGCTTGCGCTAAGGGCCACTGGGGCCTCCGCTCTGGGGCGACACGTCGGGACTGCTGCGCCGGGCGAACGCCTCGATGACGAAGGCGTCTACAAGCGTCTGCTGGAGCGGAACGCGCGCGAGGCGGAGGCGCAGGAGCAGGAGAGCCGGCTTCTTGTCTGACCTGTGGGTGTCGTGCCAACCGCGCTGGATAGAGATGGCCGCGGCCACCCCCGCGTGGAGGTCCCCCGTGGCCTTCTACGTGGAAGAGGACAAGGGGCACGTCATGGAGAACGAGGCTTTCGGGCTGCACGCGCGCGCCGCAGTTCGCGGGGTCCTCGCAAGCTTCCACGTGCATTGGGAGGGCGTGTTCAGCCGGCTCATCGACGCGACGACTCATGGCGACGTCGGTGCGCTTCCCCACGACGCAGAGACAGCATCGAAGCTCGTCCGCTTCGAGTTTCGAATGGGGGACGCGGCGTTGTCGAAGCATTTGGTGGAGATGCGCCTGCGGGCGCATGTGGTTTTGAAGCTGGGCTTGGAGCTGATCGATCGGAAGCATCCGTCGTTTGGGGCGTCGAGCAATATTGTAGCCATGCGACAGAAGTATGCGGAGCGCGTAGCTGCGAGGTACCCTTGGCGAAACACTCCTGAGGATTCCGATGGCGTCGTACCCCCTGCAGTTCTCTCCGAGGTAACAGCAGGCAAGATTGCGAAGAAGGAGGCGGCAGAGAACAAGCACGCCACGCCGTCCCTAGCTCCGGGCCCGATGGAATGCGCCTTCAGAGACTTACGGCCGACGGCATGCGCGCCCGCGGAGCTCCAATCTCGACAGGGGGGGCCGAGGAACGCAAGGCGGAGGCTTTGACGGGGGAGCTCATCTTGACGTGCAAGGTGGACGCGGGCATGGTGTCCCAATGGAACCCGGCGTATCCAGGTCTTGCGTGCCCGTTCACACTTCTCTGGCAAGCGGGTGGGCCCTGTTTCACCCCGGCATATGCGGGCGGGGGAGAGCGACAGCATCGCCGCATTCGAGGCGCGGTGGGAGAGGGGGAGTTGAATTCCAGACCCAGCATCGAGATCGGCGCGTGGCTCTCCGGGATGACGCGCCGGGTGGAATCGCAGATCAGGAGCGATGGGCCGTTCATTCGCGACGCTTCGCGACGCATTCCGCCGGCCCGTTGCTGCGAGTGCGCGGTTGGGGGGGGCGCGGGGGAGAAGTGAGTGCGAGGGGTGGTGGAGGTGGGTGGGGCGATGGGGGTTGCGCGAGTGTCTTTCGGCGCTTCGCCGTGGCCGCGCGGGGGGAGATCACATTGCGCGCTGATGCCTCCCTGCGCGGGGGCGGCGGCTGCCAGGCATGCGGAATTGATGGTGTAGATTCAAGGGGATCTCCGCCCGTTTGGCGAGCACTGTCAGGAGACGTGCACATGAGAGCACGGGCGATATCAGCGCCCGTCTCGCGGCGGCCGTGGGGAGCCTGCATGAGAAGCTGGCGAAGGGGGTGCACGGGGAGAAAAATCGGCCCATCAACGGCGAAAAGAAACAAGGGATTCTGGGATTTTTGCCGATCTATTTTGGCTTACGCCACACCGCCGACCCCTTGTGGCGGCAGCGATCGCCCCCCGCGTGGCCTGTCTGGACAGCCTGAGAGGCCCCTCTAGACACGTTTTGGAGCCCTCTCAGGACCGTCCTGCTGTTCCCCCGGGCCGTTGCCATGGTTTCTGGGGCCTTCGTGGGGCGCCCGGAGGCCGTCATGGAGCCTTTTGGAGAGTCTCTTGCGGTGCCAGAGGTCGATCTTGGAGGTTGACTGGGCCGTTGTGGGCCTCGTGGAAGCTCAAGAAGCGAATATGCTGAAAATGTATGCTTTCCCGAAGGAATGGGACGGTTTTTGCTTCTGGAGGCCTGCTTGGAGCGCCTCGTGGTCGCGTGCGCAAACGTCTTGGATGCCCATGGGGCTGTCTGGAGGCAACCGTCGGCGGTTTGGACCGAGTCGTCCCCCGCGTGGGCCGTCCGGACAGCCTTTGAGAGCCCTCTTGGCCCGTTTTGGAGCCCTTTGGGGACCGTCCTGCGGCTTTCCTGTGCCATGGCTATGGTTTCTGGAGCCTTCGTGGATCGCCCGGAAACCGTATTGGAGCCTTCTTGGGAGGCTCTTCGTGTGACAGGGGTCGATCTTGGAGGTTTATTGGGCCGTTGTGGGCCTCGTGAAAGCCCAAGAAGCGAATGTGCTGAACATGTACTTTTTACCTAGGGAATGTGGGACGGTTTTTGCTTGTGGAGGCCTTCTTGGAGCGCCTCGTGGTCGCGTAACGTCTTGGACATCCATGGGGCCGTCTGGCGGCGACCTTGGGCGGCTTGGACCGAGTCGTCCCCCGCGGGGGGCGTCCGGACAGCCTTTGGGGACCGGCTTGGCGTTTTAGAACCCTTTTGGGACTGTCCTGCGGCTTTCTTGGGCCGTTGCTATGGTTTCTGGGGCCTTTGTGGATCGCCCGGACGCCGTCTTGGAGCCTTTTTGGAAGCCTTTTGGGCTGGCGAGGGTCGATCTTGGAGGCTTCTTGGGCTGTTTTGCGCCGCGTGGAAGCCGAATAGGCGAATGTGGTGAAAATCTACGTTTTCAATCGGAAATGAGACGAGTTTTGCTTCTGGTGGGCCTCTTTGCGCCGCCTCGGAATATTGTTTCAAAAGTCTTGGGGACTTCTGGAGCCGCGTGGAGGAAATCATCAGCGTTTTGGAGCGATCTTTCGTCGATTCGTAGCTCTCTTGGACCGTTCCGGGAACCTTTGGAACCTTTTTGGCCCGTTTTGGGGTCTCCTGAGGCTCCAAGTGTGCGGATGATGGATTTCCCCCCCCCCCCCCTTCCTCCCCCCCCCCCCGCTCCAAACCGGCCGGACCAGGCCCCCGGGGGAGGGGTTCGGGAGGGAGAAGCATCTCACACGCCATGACCCCAAGGGGTCGGCGGATTTGCGCGTGTGTGTTTTGGTGTTTGGTGTGTGGTGTGTGTGTGTGTGTGTGTGTGTGTCCCTGGGCCCCTGTAGAGCAGCATCTCCATGCCCGCGGCCTCGTGGGCCAGGCTCCTGGCCGCCCGCAACCCCGCAGCTGCGGTCGCGGATTTCCCGCCGCACGACCGCGTATGCGCGGCATTGCCCTCGGAATCCAGACCGCGAGGGCTCGGATACGGACATATTCTCGGCTCGTGAACGTCCTGGATCGAGTGCTAGCCCGACCTGGCCGGATCCTTCTGAATCATGCGTTCTGTTCAAGTTGGTTTAATATTGGGCTTGATCTCGCTTATTCGGTTTTCATGTTAAATAGTCTTTTGAGCTTGGTCGCCCCGAATCGTTCTGGCGAAGACCTCCCACGAGTTGCCTCCTGAACCAGGGCGGGCTAGCAGTCGCCGCTCGCGCTGGGACGGGTGTTTCAGCCTGGGATGTTTCTTAACGGTCCCCACCGCCCGCCAAACCACCCAACCCAACCCCAAGGCCCTAATTTGCCCCCTCTCCCAGTGTGGGGGGAACATCGCAAAAGCACACATGGAACCCATAAGAAGCGCCCCCCCCCAACCCGAAATTCGGGTCCTCGGGTTGGGTTGGGGATGTCTCGTACGCAGCCAGCCCCCAGGGCCCAGCGGGGGCCCCAGAGGGCCGAAAGTGGGCAAAAGTTTGCCGTGGACGAGGTCTGAGGCCGCCGTGGTATGAGTGACACCCGTGCGAAGCAGGCCTGGAAGCCCACGGCCCGTCGCGGCGCGCGCCTCCCGCCCCGAGGGGGGCGCCCGGCGCGATCCAAGGCATCTGCCGCTGCGCCGTCCTCACAGCGAGGGGACCTGTCGGTGGGGGGGGGGGGGCGGCGCTGGACGCCCCGCCGCGCTCGCGCGGAGCGGGCCGCCCCTCCGCGCTCGCGCCGCGAGCCCGCCGCCGCGCCCAGCTCCAAGTGCGCAAGGCCCTGCGCGACCTGCTGGTGATCGACAAGGCGGGCCGGCCGCTCTGGGCGCGGGCGCGCTCTCGCCTGTGCCGGGCGTCCGCGCAGATGGCCGCTGGAGCTGCTATGAGGTCTATGCGCCTCCCAGATGGGGCCCGAGCCGACAGGGTCGAAGCTCGGGCTCGACATCGAGCCGCATCGCCGATGCATCGGCGATGCGGCGCGACCCTCCAAGCCTTTCTGCAGTCAAGGCGCCCAGTGTGGACGCGCGCCTTTATCTAGGGTGCCCTTGTGTCCTTGCCTCTGCGGCTCGTTCTTTGCCGTTCTTACTGGTCGCCGCCGCCCAACAAAATCCCAACTTCGGACTCTACGGTTTCTTCGTCCTCACCACGCGCCCTTAATACGTTTTGATTATGCTCGGACCCCGTCTAGGAGGCTTCGAGAAAAGGGGAAAGGGGGGTAGATGCTGAGTTGGATTGTAGCTGGCTTGGCCTACCTCAAGAGTGGATTACAGGTGCCTTGAGTGGGTTTGGGGGTTTGGATAGCTCCGCTATGTGGGCGGAGCCCACTTCGCCCAGATCGTTCCCTCCCCAGGCAGCGCCAGATACAGCCCACCTTAGCATTTGTTTCTAAGCGCCCTTATCCCCTCGTCCTCGTCCTCGTCCTCGTCCTCAAGGTTGTCGGCCGCGAACGGCCCCTGGGCCAGAAGTCGACGTCGACGGAAAATAATTACACTGGAACCTAGCGCGAAGGAACAGCTTCCCGATGCGGTGCCCCAAACCCCAGACCGAGAAACAGAGAGAAAACCCCCCCCTCCCAGGGAAGCGGAGGGAGCGGAGCCACGGGCCCGAGCGAGACCCAAGACGGCGCCCAAAAAGAGGCCAGGCCGGCCCGCCGCCCCCGCCCTCTCTGCGTTCCGGGAGGTTCCCCCCGCCGCGTGGGGTCTTGGGGGGGGGGGGCGTGCAGCCGGCTTTTTCCCCGCCGCGTGGGGCGGAGGTGTTTACCAGCCCCTGGCTGAACGAAGGATTGCAAAAAAAACCCTTGAACAAAGGATTGCAAAAAAAACCCTTGAACGAGGGTTTTTCTGCAATCCTTCAATCCTTCGTTCTGGGCAAGGGGGGGGGCGGCGTGCAGCGCCCCTCCTCCCCCCCTCGGGTGGTCCTTCCTCGAGGCCCTCGTCGCAGCGCGGCGGGCCCTCGGCCCGAGGGAGCGCGGCGGGGCGGGCGCCGGGGGCGGAGAGGCCGCAGCGCTGTGGTGCCAGGGATGGGGGGAGCCGCGGGAGGAGCAGGTGCGAGGACTCCAGCAGTGGCGAGGCGTCCTGGCTCGCCGATAGCCCTACCAAACAATGTTCTGAGAACCTCTTTTGTGATTTCCACGAGCTGTTCTCAGAGCACTTCTGGCTGGGACCGCATTTCTGGCTGGGACCGTCTTGGTTTCACACATCGGGCTGATGTTCTGAGACCGTTGTTCTTAGAACATTCTTGGGTTCTGAGAATATTTCGTGGTAGGACTACAGGAATGCCGGGACTGTCGGTCTCTGCTCAAAGGACACCCTCGTGCCCCACATCGAGCACAATCCGCGTCGGTCGTTTAAAGTAGGCAGTTCGTGATTCCGAGATCCGAAGACATCTTAGACACGCTCCTACTTCGCGAGGGTCGAGTGGCTTTTCCTCCTCCCTCCTCTTGAGGCGGCGGGCGGAAGCCCGATCCACTTGCAACGCCTTCTTACTTCACGATTCTGCCCACTACTTCCAACGGGTACGATGCAGGGAGTTCTGGGCGCATCTTACCACCCGCAGCATAAGTTCGATAGCCAAATCGCCGCATCAAGTCGTGGCTTCCCTGCACACTGAGGCATAACATCACCTACTACGTTGGGTGCTTTGTCGCGCTAGTATTCCAGAGCGCGATTCTCGAACTGTAACAACCGACTGCTTACTAAGGGTCCAACATATGGTATGGGCACCCGATCAGCAGGACACGACAACACGTGAAATCAGATGCCAGGTCGCCTGGACCAGGGGCAGCCCTGGCGTGCCCCGCGGGTGGGAGGGAAAGAGCTGGGGCCCCCACCCCACTCTTGGGCACGACGCCCATGGAGGCTTGAGCAGGCCCGCCTCCAATCCGATGAATAGGAGAAGGAACTACCTGAATGCGGCACCGTCCCCCAGAAGATCAAATAGAGGGCGCCCTCTCGCAGGATGGAAGGCCCTGAATCGAAGTGGAAACCACGAGCGGGCGGCGTGAGTGCGCTGTAACCCCATGAGGAGTACGCTGCCCCTGACGTGGCCGCTCAGCAACGGGGGGGATCAACAGCGCGCCCGCCAAACCGATCCCCCTGGCCCACGCACCCCACGAAGAGGGGGAGAAGGGGGAGACGCACCAAAGGCCACTTGGTGGTTTTACATGGCCGCCTTGCCCACCCCCCCGACGCACATCGCCGTCGACCCAGAACTTTGAGAACCTCCGACAGGCTGAGACTCGTTACCTTTGGCAACCCCCGCGGTCATTTCGGCAGGCGCGGGGGCCTTCTTGGCGAGGTTCGTTGGATATCGGGGCTGTTTGGCTGTCTTCGCCCCCTCGGGGTCGCCCTCCTTCACGCTGCACCTTCGGGGGACCTTGGCTGCCCCCCAGATTTTGTGTCTTTCCTTGCGGCCGACTCGGATTCGATGCGGGTAACCTCTATAAGTGTTTAGGGTTTATGTTTGACCCCCCCCTTTCACTCGGCGGTTAATAGGACTGGTCATAACACCTCTTCCTCCTCCTCCCCGCTCCCCCTCCCCCTTCTCCTCGTCCTTCTCCTGCTCCTCCTCCTGCTCCTCCGCCTCGTCCTCCTCCCGCTCCTCCTCGTGTCATTCCAAAGGAAGAGGAGGGGGAGCAGGAGGAGGTGCCGAGGTTTTTTTGTTTGTTGTAAATTAATTCCTAAGGCCGTCGAAACAGATAATTATGGATCCTCCTATTTCTGGGGGCTTTCTAAAGACGGATTCGATGTGGATTCGACGCGGATTTGACGAGCCCGACATGGGTTCGACGCGGATTCGATGCGGTTAGCGGCACGATGGGAAAGGCAAGGCCCCTAGAAGATGCAACACGACCTCTTTTTCTAGGTTTCGGAAGTGAGTGGGGTTGGACGGCGGAGTGGCTAACGCCTGGGAGGGGTGGGTGGAGGGGAGGGGTGTTCCAGAGAGGAGGAAGGATTTTCGATGGAGGCGGCTCCAGAGCGGGAGAGTTTGGGATGTTGCATTAGTGAACCGTACACAGAAGACGCTCTCGTCGATCCTGGCTTCGTCTCAGGTGGTCAAGTTCAAGAGTAACTGCTGATGCGGGCCTCCCGCTTCTGCACCTGCACTTTGCCCAGATTTCCCGGATCACATTCTGTCACGTGTAGATGCGATCATATGCGATCCCGTGCGCGCTTCCCTGGCGCAGGAGTCACCCGGGATCAGCGTTTCAAGGGTTTTCCCGGATCACGTTTGGAGGGCCTTGCACAGGGCTTTCCCTAGACCAGGCCTATCCCGGATTCCCATCCTGCTGCCTTTCCCCCCGAACCCCTGGCATCGTGACACGAGTCTCCCGACGGGAGGTTCTTGGACAGCCTTCGGCCTCTGGGGACCCTGGACAAGGCCCGGCAGGGCAAGGGGCCATGAACTAGACAAATGGCCAAAGGTCAGGAGGGGAACACACACAGACGCAATACATCGTCGAAGGGGGGGGAGACGAGAATCCAGAAAGTATGCAAAGTGATTGGACGTCCTGGGATTTGTGTGTATGACTAGTCCTCCTCCTCCTCCTCCTCCTCCTCCTCCTCCTCCTCCGCCTCCTCCTCCTCCGCCTCCGCCTCCTCCTCCTCCTCCTCCTCCTCCTCCTCCTCCTCCTCCTCCTCCTCCTCCTCCTTTCCTCCTCCCCCTCCTCCTCCCCCCTCCTCCCCCCTCCTCCCCCTTTGCAAAAGGATGGATCGCTGGTCCCGGGACGGGCCTCGGGACCTCCTGCGGGCGCCACCCTGGCCGGCGGCTCGCGTCGGGCGGATATTTCCAGCGGGCCTCGGAGCCCGAGGCGGGCCCCCTGGTGCCTCGACATCGAGGGACCAGGCCTCCCGCGCGAGCACCCGAAGGATTGCAACAAACCGAAGGATTGCAAAATCCTTCGGTTTTTTTCAATCCTTTTTGCAATCCTTCGGTTTTTTGCAATCCTTCGGTCCTCTTGCCAGGGCCCCAGAAGCCAGGGCCCCGACGTCCTGATTTTTTTCACTGCGTCGACCCCCAGAAGTCGTCGACCCCTTGCCCCTGGACCAGCTCTGCGTCCCGAGTCGTCTTTGGCGCTCCCGAGGCCCGGCAGGGGCCCCTGGAGGCCGAGAATAGTGAAGAACCCTCCCGTCGTGGTTTTTTCACGGTGCGAGGGGGTCTGTGATCTGGACGCCCGAGATGGGCACGGAAAGAATGGGTACAATGCCCAACAGCAGTTCCTGTTCATTTTGAACAGGACTCGCTGTCGGCGCCGCCGCGGCCTGTGTACATTCGAGACAGAAGGCCGCCTGCCCAACAGCGGCCGCTGTTGGAATGGGACAACATTTCTTGTTGGGCATCGTACCCATTTTTTCGGTACCCATGTCGGGCGTCCAAATGTGAAGCCAGGACACCGCGAGCCAAGGCTTTGCCAGGTCCAGTGGGAGAGGCCGAAGAGCGGAGCCCGCTCCGGCCCGCGGCCGCAGTGCTCTGGGGCCGTGCCGGCGTCCCGGTCTGTCAAGGCGGCCCCGTTGTGCGCTCGGGGCCCCGATTGTCCTCCTCCTCCTCCGCCTCCTCCTCCCCCCTCATTCCTCCAAATCCTCTTCTTCCTCATCCACTTCTTCCTGCCCCCTCCTCCTCCTCCTCCTCCTCCTCCTCCTCCTCCTCCTCCTCCTCCTCCTCCTCCTCCTCCTCTGTTTTCGTTGGCTTCCCGCGAGCGCTGCGGCCGGATCTAGGCATGATCGAGGTCGGTTCGGGGAGGGCACCCTCGTGCTTGCTGGCCGTTCTTGTGCATCCCGGGGAGGGTATGCCCTCGGATGTTCTGTGCGGTTCTGCCGGCAGGGGGTCTCATGCTCTCGGGGGATGTCCTTCTGGCGTGGGTCCGACTGTAGGTGCCACCCATGCCGAGCTGGGCGGAGGTTGGAGGGAGGACGGCAGGGCAGAGGACGGAGAACGACCGGCAGAGGACAGGCCAGAGGGGGGGGCGGCGGGAGGAAGCGGGAGGACGGAGACGGCAGGAGTCGGGAGCCAGGAGGGCTGAGCGAGGAAGGCCTCCGAGGACTTGCCACAACCGTGCCGGCCCACCATTCCGGGTTTGTCATTCTACGAGGGGGCAGGGGAAACCGTCACGTGTGACACCTCGGGCCTCTCGTCTTGAAGGCCCCAGGGGGATTCTTGGTACCGTCGTGGGAGCCCCTTGGAGGCTCTTCGGAGTTTTGGGGGCCCCCTTGGGCCGACATGGGGTTCCTCTTGACTGCTCTTGGGCCATCTTGGAACCCTCTTGGGCCGTCTCGGGGCCCTCTTGAGTCCCTCGTGGGCCATCTTGAGGCCATATTGGAGGCTTCCCAGGCCGCCTTGTGTTGATGGAAGCTTGAAAAGGTGAGAACGTGAGAATCTATTCGATTTGAGGGGCATGAATGGTTTGGGCCTCTTCGGGACTTGCTGGGGGTTCTCTGGAAGCCCTCTCGGGCCGTCTTGGGAGCCTCTTGGGCAGTCTTGCGGCCATCTTGGACCGTCTTGGAGACACCGCGGGCCGTGCTGGAGTCATCTCTGCGGCCCTGGTGGCCAGCCTGGTGGGGCTGTCTTGGAAGCCGGCGCGGGCACGTTGGACGCCCTCCAGAACGCCGGGGAGCCGTTTGGCAGCCCAGGATGACTCGGGAGGGGAGGGGGGGAGAGGCGACGCACGCAGGTGAGAGCGCCCGGGAGGGGGGGGGAGGCCTTTATGCAAGAAGCTCCCCCAGGCAGCACTGGACATGCCAGCACGCTTCCGCGTGCCGGGGGGGGGGGCACGGCGGCAGACCAACGGGGGCAGAGGTAGGGAGGCGAGGCCCACGGAAGGGACGCATCGGCCCCGGTGGCCGATGGACAGCCCGCCCGCCCAGGAATCAGGCGATCGCAGGCATGGATCAATGGGGGCGTGGATTAGCGACGGGTCCCGCATCCATGAGAAATCGCGGATTTCGACCGCCGAGCGAGGCGGCACCGGCCGCCTTTTGGGGAGGGCCCCCACCCCCCCGATCCGTGGACTTGGCGACCGCGCGCCAAATCCATGGATCGCTAATCCATGTTTGCGCGCCCCCTTCCACGGGGGCGATGCGTCGGCCCCTGTCGCCGATGGACAGCCCGCCCGCCCAGGAAGGGGGAGGAGGCGGAGGAGGAGGAGGAGGAGGAGGAGGAGGAGGAGGAGGAGCGAGGAGGGAGAGGAGGAGGAGGAGGGAGGAGGGAGGATGGAAGAGGGAGGAGGAGGGAGGGAGGGAGGAGGGGGAGGGAGGGAAGGAGCGAGGAGGAGGGAGGGAGGGAGGAAGTAGGGGAAGGTGGAGGAGGAGGAGGAGGAGGAGGAGGAGGAGGAGGGTGCGGTCTCGCGCTCTCGGGGGCCCGTCGCTGATCTCTGTCGGCGTTGCATCGCCGCTCCCGCTCCAATCCTTCCCACCCTGAGCCCGTCCCCTCTCGTCGCTCCCCCCTGGTGCGGAGGAGGAGGAGGAGGAGGAGGAGGAGGAAGAAGAGGAGGAGGAAGAAGTGGAGGAGGAGGAGGAGGAGGGGGAGGAGGAGGAGGAGGAGGAGGAGGAGGAGGAGGAGGAGGAGGAGGAGGAGGAGGAGGAGGAGGAAGAGGAGGAGGAGGAGGAGGAGTGCAGGATTGCGATCACGAAGTGCTCAGAGGGAGGCGGAGGGGGGCGCATCACGCGGCAACGTCCTGTTTGATGATCCATGCGATGGTTTGTCCGCCCTGCTCGAGGGCGTTGCCGTCGCCAGCATTTGCGGGGCTCTCGCATCGCCCTCTCCAGGATCTCCTCTGCAGCGGCAGAAGCATGTCTGTGGCTCGCTCCCCTCCACGAGGGTCCTTCTTGGCCGCCATCCGGCTGGATAGTGGCGAGGGCGGAAGGTCGGGCGGGCCCAGGGCCGGGAACTATATGGCTGCCGAGCGCTCGGGATCGGCTGCGCGCACGGGTGCCTTCGCCGAAACGGCCTCTGGTGCTGGCACACCTGGGGCTCCGAGATGGCTGAACGCGACGGGACGATGCCGATGACGAAGACGGCGACGACGATTGGCGATGGTGGTGACGATGACGATGACGATGACGTGCGCGCTTGGGCTTGGCCTCCCCGCGGCCCACGAAAGTCGCGCGCCAAAGGTCACGTTTGCCTGGGGGGCCCAGGGCAACTCCTGCGTGCACAGTCGGATCGGTGTAGAAGATCGGGTGTTCTTCTGTCCCAGGTCCGAAGGGTGTTCTGAAGGGTGTTCTTCTGTCCCAGGTCCGACTGCAGGCATAGGGGGTGGTTGCATCGACACCCGATCGCCCGCTGATCGCCGACGGGGAGCCCGCTCGCCCCACCCTGCCCAGGAGCTCGCGGATGCACTATCGGGGCCCGTCGCCGATCCATCGGCGACGTGTCGCCGATTCCAGGTCGGGCATGTCCTTGGTCGTTCCAGTCAGAAAAACAGTGCTCAACAATACTGAAAGCGTCGTCCCCCGACTATGTTTTAACTAGCTTTGCATCTTCCTCCTGCATGATGATGATGATGATGCTGATGATGATGATGATGATGATGATGATGATGATGATGGTGGGGATGATGAGGATGATGGTGATGATAATGATGTCGATGGTGATGGTGGTGATGATGATGATGATGATGATGATGGCGATGGCACTACCGATGATGATGATGATACTGATACTGGTATTGATATTGATACTGATACTGATGATGATGATGATGATGATGACGAGGACGATGATGATGATGATGATGATGATGATGCTGATGATGATTATGCTGATGATGATGAATTGGGTAATGATGATGATGATGATGATGATGATGATGATGATGATGATGATGATGATGATCATTGTGATGATGCTGATGATGATGATGATGATGATGATGGTGATGTCGATGTCGATGCTGATGCTGAAGCCGTTGCGTATGCTGAAGAGGAGGATGTTGATGGTGGTGGTGGCGCTGCTACTGAACAGGATGAACACACTACTACTGCTGATTGTGATGGTGATGCTGATGACGATGCTGCTGCTGCTGCTGCTGCTGCTGATGATGATGATGATGATGATGATGATGATGATGATGATGATGATGATGATGATGATGATGATGGTGAGGATGATGATGATGATGATGGTGAGGATGCTGGGTAGGAGGAGGAGGATGAGGAGGCAGAGGAGGAAGAGGAGAAGGAGGAGGAGGAGGAGGTGCAGAAGGCGCTCATAGCCTCGGCCAGTCAGGAGCTTTGAGGCGGAGGAGGAGGGCAGCCCGGCGGCCGTCTGCCCGCGCCCGCCAGGCGAAGGACGAGCTCGCGCCCGGCGAGCGTCGCACCGTGAAGGTCACTTGCATGCCCATCCGCGTGTACGAGGCGGGGTCCGCTTGGCGCCATGCCCCTTCCCGCCTCCCCTGGCCTCCTCTGGTTGTTCTAGGTTCTAGGCCTCCCGGATGGGGTCCAGAGGAATCGTTGTTGTGGGCATCCTCTCAATGTTACAGGCGTCCTTTCGTTGTTGTAGGCCTCCAAGTACAAAAAGGAGGAGAAGGATGAGGAGGAGGAGGAGGAGAAAAAGGACTCCCCCCTGGGACCTCCCCCCTTCTCGGGGATTCTCGATTTGTCCGTACTCGATTTTGTCCTCGCCCTGGCTTCGTCTTTATAATCCTGTCCCAGCGCCGCAGCCCGCTGGCCTCCCTGTGCGCTGCCTCGCGTGGTCTGCTGCCGTGCGCGGCCGTCCCGACGCCTATCCGCTCTACGGTTAAGTCGGGCGTGTCCCTCTACAGGAGGAATATCCAAAACAAAAAGACACACATAGAGTCTGGGGGCGATTTGTGGAGTACTTTTGATTTTTTTGGGGGGGGGAGTTCTGTTGGTCCATTTTTCGCCCCAAATCCGCCTGGATGGGGGACACGCACGACCTAACTCTACGGTCAAATCGCCTCGTAAGGACGCGCGCCTTCAGCTAGGGTGCCCTTGGGTCGTTCTGCCTCTGCGGCCCGTCCCTTGCCGTTTTTCCACTTGTCGCCCGCCGTCCCAACAAAAATCTCACGTCTCCCTCCTAGGGTCTTCGCGTCCTTACCACCCGTCCTTGATGCACGTTTTGACTGTACTCGGACAGCGTCTAGGGGACCTTTTATAAAAAGAGGATGGGGGGGGGTAGATGCTGAGCTGGGTTGTGGCTGACCTGACCTAGCTCAAGAGTTGGCTACAGGTTGGACAGCCCCGCTGAGTGGGCGGAGCCCACTTCGCCCGGATCGCTTCCTCCCTGAACTATACGCCAGACTCTACCACCCGTCCTTGCTGCACGTAGGGACTCTGGACGAGGCGCTTCAGAAGACGCCTCGCCCTGGAGGATCGCAGGAGTGGGCACACCTTCTCCTCGGCGGCAGGCAGCTGCCCGACCGGCGGAGGGCGGCGGGGGTATAGAGCGAGGGTGGCCCCCGCCCGCGGAAGCCGGCAGAGGCCGGCGGACTGTCGACGCATATCGAGCAGTGGCGATCCGACGCGAAATCGGGGCGGCGGGTTCTTCCAGGGGCCCTCGCCGGGCCTCGGGCCCGTCCAAAATCGACCCAGGACGAAAAACCGGCCTTGGGGATGTGGTCCAGACCTCTGGGGCCCGCGCATCGGAAAAATTGGAGCGGCTGGATGTCTGGGGCCTTGAGGGCCCTTGCGTCCTGATCGTGCTGCCCTACATCGGCGCTTCGAAAGTTTATTCCGATTTGAGAGGCACGGCGCCGCGCGAATGCAGCGCAAACGCTATGCTGGAAGGGCGCGGCAATGCATGCTCCTTGGACAGGCGAGAGCAGCCGCGCCCCCGTGCGAACCGCGATCCCGCGCGGGGCGCGCTCCCGTTGACAATGTCTCACCCAGGAAACCGTTTCTTGTGCAGGAAGTCCTGAACGACCTGCCCATCGGCGGTTCCTTCGGACGAGGCCCGGAACCACCGAGAAACCGTTTTTGATAGGCAGCTCTTGGCGGTTTGCCCATGTTCGGTTTCTTCGGAGTGGGCCCGAAGACCTCGATAACGATGTTTTTTGCAAGGAGTCCTAGGCGGTTTGCACATTTTCGGGTCGTTCGAACTGGACCCGAAATTTTGTTTGGCGCAAGTCGTATGGGATCTGGCCACTTTCAGGTTGGCCGATGAACTTTTCGGGTCGCCGCATGACCGAACCCGAAAGCTTGTTTCGAGGAGGTCCTATGCCGTTTGCTCATTTTCGGGTCAGTACCCCGTTGGGAATTTAGAATTTTAAATTGGTAAGGGAAACCCGATCCCGCGACCCCGGGCGGGGTCAGGCTTTGCATTGTACTGGGCCCCTCCGGCCAAACGGGGCGCTGGGCTGCCCATCGGCGCGCCGACTCTGCCCTCGCGACATCGCCCCCATCCGCCATCGGGCCCCGCGAGTCTTATCCTGCGCGCGCCACCCCAGATGGCCGCGGCGAGCACGGTGGCGAAATTGGGGGAAGTTTCGGGTCGGCGTAGTATGAAATATACCAGCTGTGCCAAAGCGTCCTGGATTGCCTACAAGCCAACCGAAGAATGGTTTAATAACCACTTGTTGCCTGCACGAAATGTTATCGTAACATAATTCTGGCTGAGGCTGTCTTGTCTTGACACATTGGCCTTATGGTCTAAGAACACTGCTCTTCTCATTTGAACATTTTTAGGTTCTAAGAACACTTCTTAGGGTCTAATAGCACTTCGTGGTAAGACTATAGGAATGCCGGGACGATCGATCCCTGTTCAAATATACGATTTATTGTTTTTTTGTTGGTTTGTTGATGCTCACTAAGTGTTCTTCATCTCGGCCAAGCTCTTCCGGTGGTGCGTTGCATTCGGCGGCCCCTGGTGCTGGTCTTCGAGCTGGAACGATTTCCGGGTGATTCCGTTACTGCTTCGTCTGCCCAGCTGCCCTTCATCGGATAGGCGTTTGGTCGGTGCTTCGGCTGGCCTTCATGGGATAGACGCTTGCGACGCCAAAAAACGAGGTCGTCTGCGCCGACATTGGCGCGCAAGCTGCGCGCGTAAGGTCGCGCGTAAGCGCCCTCGCTTCCAGCGTAACGTACCGCGCTAGCGGCCCGCGTAAGTAACCGCGTAAGGTCGCCATGCCATCTCGCGTGAAAAATCCCGTTTTCGATCGTCACTCACTTGAAATCGCCCGCCGGCGCGCCGCCCACGGTATTCGGACGGCCCGCAGCCTCGGCAGCGCAAGTTGGTCGGAGTGATTCGCACCTGCCGCAGGCGGCCGCCGTCAGCTGATGCCAAGTATCGAGTAGGGGGATCGACTACATAATTGATTTGCCACTGAATTCTTTTTCTTGCCGAATCCAAGGGCTCTTCGTGGAAACTTCAAAAATTTACGAATGGTTGATGTATTGTTGTTGATGGGTCGACGTGGAAATCAATTCGGGGTAAATCAATTATGTAGTCGATCCCCCAGTCGAAATTTGCTTGCCGTTTCTTGTCTCCTGCCTTGCTCGCTTTTGTTCTCTCGGCCTCTGATCGTGTGGCGTCGACTCGCGTTTTGCACTTGACGAGTCGGCGCCGATTTAGCGTCGACTAGATTTGACTTGGTGTCCATCAGCGTCGAGTGGCGACGACGAGCGTCGGTTCGCAAGAGCCGACAAGATAGTAGGAGAGGCTCCCGTGAGTTGCCACCAGAGATGTCGTTCGAATTTGATCGGGGAAGTTGTGTTGTCCGTCTTTCTCTAGACGGTTTCAGTTTTGGGTGAACTTCACGGGACGAGGCCCACCGCATAGCCAGAGGGCTATGTGGCGGCTGTTCTCACTTAGGCCTACTAGACGGGGTCAGAGCAGATGGGGTCAGAGGATCGCGCCGCATCCTCGACGCATCGGCGATGCGGCTCGATGTGGAGCCCGAGTTTCTCAACGGTGACGTCGCTGACGCATCGCCGACGTCGCCGATGCATCATCGATGCATCGTCGATGTATCGGTGATGCATCGGCGATGCGGCGCGATCCTCCGATCCCATTTATTCCGACCCAATCTAGGACACCTCTAGTTCGTCTGGGCGAACTCCACGGGACGAGGCCCACTGCATAGCCAGAGGACTATGTGGCGGCTGTTCTCACCGTGCCACACGGACACATGATCATGGTTTTTGTTTCGTTTCCCGTTTTTGGGCGTTCTTGGAGGCCCTCGTCGCCACCGCTGGATTCTCCTCGGGATCTTGGTCAGAACGCACCCCGAAAGAGGTATCGGTATCGGTGCATTTTGGTTCCCCCCAGACTTGTCATCTGTGTCTCAGTTCCCCCGTCGGGCTCCAGCATAATTCGAAGTGCCTTGGTATTCTGCGCCAGGGTATTCTGCGACAGGGTATTCCGAACATACTTCTGCGCCACGAATGCGGTTGTTTTTCATCGAGCTCTTCGCCAGACGCAGCCAAATCTTAAACAGGGTTCAGCGTCGGAAGGAAGGAAGCCGGCGTAAGTTAAACATGCGCCCCAGAGAAATGGCAAGGTGTGTTGGTTCAGGGGTCCCAGAACTTGCAACGTTTGGCGCAGTCAGTCTTGCCACGGTCTCGCAATGTGGTCGCCGAATTCGCTGCGTTTTCGTCCAGCTCCGTCTGGCAGGAGTGCGCCTCTATTCGATCCTGGAGGGTTGGCCCACAGCGCGTGGGCTCGATGCGCGCGCGCCCACTTTTTGAGCACAGGGGATGGGCAACAGGGAGAGGCGCAGGAGAATGCCATGGCACCGCCACCGCTCTGCGACGACCAGCCCTCTTGGACAAATGGAAGGAGGGTCCTGTGTTCTAGTCTTAAGTCGGGAATGTCCCTCTGCAAGATAATATCCAAGAATAGTAAAAATAGTATGGAACGAGCTTTCGTGCTCGTTTGACTACGCTTCTGTTTCCTATTTGTCCCAAATTCGCCTGTAGGAGGACATGTCTAACCTAATTGTAGTCTGGAGGCCAGGGGATCGGAACCACTGTTCTGGGGATTCCCGCGACATGTTCATAGGCAAAGAGGGCCCGAACACTCACAGGGCTGACAAGTGACCCCTGCCTCCCATCAAGCAATGGCGAAGCTTCCTGGCTCGCCTATAAGCCCACCAAATAATGCTCTAAGAACCTTTCGTGGTTTGCACAGAATGTTCTTAGAACATGTTTGGTTGAGACTGTATTGTTTTAGCGCATGTGGCTTCATTCGGAGGATATTGTTGTTGTTTCTAGAACAGTTTCGGGTTTACGAAAATGTCGTGGTAAGCCTACAGGAATGCCATGACGGCCTGTCCCTGCTCAATCCCAGGGCGACCACCATCTTGAAAGTGCCCTTCTGGTCGCGGGGGCAGGGGGTTGGGCCAGGGAGGCATTCTCTCTGCACGCGGCGCAGAAGGCGATGGGCGGACGGACGAGAGAGAGAGAGAGGGATATAGGTAGAAAGTGGTGGAGAGGGGATATCGTAAAAGTTCCTTGAGGTCCACGGAGGCCTCCCGAGGCCTGCAGCTTCCTGACCAAAAGCTCTAAACAACCTCTGTCGCCGTCGTCGAGAGGGAGAGAGCGGAAGACCAGTTGCAGGCCTTTGTCGACAACCACGGGGTCTGCCGACCCTGATCATTTGTTGCCAAATTTCCTGGTCGCGACCGACGAGATCACTACTCTTGATTTTCCTGTCCATTCGGCTATAGGTTGCGACCAACTTGCTTCATAATCGGTCACGACCGATGGGTCGCGATCGGTCGCGACCGATTGGGCGTGCCGATCGGTCGCTACCGATCGCTACTGACAAACATCCGCTATCCAATGTCCTGGGAAGGTCCCCAGAGGTCCCTGGATCCTCCGGAGGCCCCAACCTTCCATCGTCGTCGCCTCGCGGGAGAGAGCGGAAAACCGACAGCGGCACCTCGCCTTTTATCCACACATTCTCCATGACGTCGACCCCCGTAGGTCTCGACCCGTTCCCCGGGACCAGCTTCTCATCCCCAGCAGGTTTGCCGATGGCCCGGGGGCCCAGCAGGGGCTGCTGGAGGCCGAGAACTGCAGAACGCCTCTCCCGCCGTGCTGTTGCCCAGGGCCCGCGGAGGCCTGGCTGCACGGGTGCCGCTCTCGTTTTTTTTTTTGGGGGGGGGGGGGGGGGCGCTCTCTCGAAGGCGGCATCCGCCTCCCCCGCCGCTGCAGGCGCTCGTGGACAACAGCGGCATCTCCGCCCTGGTGGGCGCCCCCGCCGTGGGCCCCCGCGCGCTCGCAGCGGCAGCGACGGGAGGGCGCGCCGCGTGCGAGGGCACGGCGGGCGGCCTTCGGCAGGGGGGCACCCGCTTCCGCGCGGAGCCGGCGGGAGGTCCGAGGCCTGCAGGACTGTCGGGCAGCGGCGACGCGTCCTGGCTCGCCCATGGCCCCACCACAGAATGTTCTAAGGACCTTTCGTGGTCTGCACGGAATGTTCTCAGAACATGTCTGGCTGGGACCGTCTTGGTTTAACACACTGGGTTCATGTTCTAAGAGCACTGTTTTTGTTCTAAGAACATGTTGGGGTTCTGAGAACATGTCGTGGTAGGACTGTGGGAATGCTGGGACGGTCGGTCCCTGCTCAAGACTGGGGGTCGTCACAGGTCTGGGGAGAGTCGGGCCGAGCGACAGGGGGGGATAGGGAAAGGGGGGTGCCGAAGTCTGCCGCGTGCAGCTGGCTTCGGCCCCGCCGCCGGGCCCATGCCTCAATACACGGGCGCCTCCCGGCGCCGGGAGGCGCTGGGAGCATCAGCCACGTGAGCTGATCCTCTACCCTGCCCTTTGCTATCCCCCCATTTCGTTCCCCCCTCCAAAGAGTCGTGCGAACATCGAGGAGGAGCGCCGGGACCGGCAGGAGCTGCCCGCCGGAGGTCGGCAGGCGGCCTGGCCACCCGAGGTACTCCGCAGAAGGGGCTGGCCCTCGAGGGAGTCCTCACCCCCCAAGGCCTCCCTCGAGGCCCACAGGATCCCAGGAGGCGCAAGGCTCGACACTCGACCCTCGACCCTCGATCCTCGACCCTCCTCCTCCTTGATTGGGGTCGGCTGGGTGGCTGAGGTGGCCCAGCACTGGTTCCGGCCAGCAGGGAGGAGGGGGGGGCAGGTTCGAGGTGCTGGGTTCGGCAAGGCATTGGCTGGGACCGTCAAGAACGGATCGGGTGTGACAAACTGCACCAGATTATCCCCTGGGATGTGGCCCAGGGCCGATTGTTTGATTGCATTTGCCTTCGTCCTGCCCCTCTTGACCGGTGTCCTCGGGGCCCAGCCAGCCCGGCCCCCCTGGCTGCCTCCAAGCTTCCGCATCGCACCTGTGACCGCAGCGCGCTCCATGGGGCGCAGCACGGCTCCGTTACGAGCTGTGCGGCCGTGGGCCCCTCGGGGGATGGGATCTGGTGTCTCCCATTCTTTCCTGCGGCTCTTCTGTGGACCTTGCACGGGACTGGAAGAGATGATCGTGGCGTTCCACGGCCATGCCAGAAAACAGGCCGACTCGGGCCAAGGGTCAGACAAAGTACCCTGGCGGGCGCAGCGGAAGGCGTCAAGTGTGAAAGCGTAAGAGAAAACTAGGGAGTATGTGGCATGCGCCCGCCAGGTACAGGAACAGCAAGCCTGGCAGACCTTGGTACTCTCCGATCCTCCCCACGCCACCCCAGCAGATTTTCCTCCGCCTCCTCTCTCTCTCTATATATATATATATATATATATATATATATATATCGGCAGGGGAGGGCGAGGCCCCTGATGCCCGGAGCTCCCCACCCACCAAACCACCGCAACCCACGCCGAAGACCTCAATGCTGCCCTCCGTTTCCAATTGGGGGAGGGGGGGGTCGGGGAACAGCGAAAAAACACATCGGGAGCCCATACCCCCCCCCCCAACCCGAAAGCCGGGTCTCCCGGTTGGGCTGGGCTGGCCGGGCAGGGGCCAGCGGCCGCCGCCCCCCCCCCCCCCCCCGCGGAGGGCGCGGCGCCCCTGGGCAGACGGGCGGCCACGGCGGGCGCCGCACCGAGGATCGGGGGAGCTTCTCGGCGCCCGCGGAGGCTCGGCGCCGGGCTGCAGGGCCCTGCAGAGATCGGCCCGGGGGGTGGGCGGCTGGCCAGGGCTCGGCGGCGAGCGAGGGGGGGAAGTGAGGAGGAGGAGGCCTCCTCCGAAGGCGGCGGGCCTTCTCGGAAGCCCCTCGCGCCTTTCGGGGGAAGGCTCAGAGAACTCCCGAGCCTTCTGAGGAGGCCCGCCTTTTCTCACTTCCCCTCTGGGCTCGCCGCCGGAGGGCGGACCCCAGGAGGTGTCCGGGAGCCGAGTTTGAGCGGATCTCGGGGCCACAGGGCCTCGTGGAGGCCTCGTGCGGGCCTCTTGTCGCCGCGCGCGGCCAGATTCGCCTCGAAGTACTGGCCAGAACGGACTTCGGCATGGGTCCGGGGACAGACGTTGGGCGGATTTCGGGGTCTGTGGGATGAGACCCTATCAGAAGGGGCTGGGACGAGGATCAATTCGTTCCAGAGCGTTCCGGAACGCTCTCAGAGCGTTCGGGAACACTCTGAGGAGGCCGCGGCGGCGCCCGAGGCATCCTGCAGATCCGCCCTGGATCTCAGAGGCTCTCGATGCATCCTTACCCAAACACTTCTCCTCGCCCCGGCCTCGAGTTCGGGTCTCGTGGTCTGTGGGATGAGGCTCCACGCGCGCCCAGGGCCCCGCAGGCAGCCGGCGCGCTGCTGCCCAGGGCCTCCGGAGTTCCCGCTTGTGGTGGGAGTGCGGGAGGGGGGCGGAGGCGGCGCCCCTCGGCTGCAGCCTCTGCTGTTCCAGCCTTGCGGTGTGCCCCGTCGCACGGCCGTTGGCACGGGAGGAGGAGGAGGAGGAGGAGGAGGAGGAGGAGGAGGAGGAGGAGGAGGAGGAGGAGGAGGAGGCGGGGAGGAGGAGGAGGAGGAGGAGGAGGGGGGGGAGGGGGAGGGGGAGGGGGAAGGGGAGGGGGAGGGGGAGGGGGAGGAGGAGGAGGAGGAGGAGGAGGAGGAGGAGGAGGAGGAGGAGGGGAGGGGGGGGAGGGGGAGGGGGAGGGGGAGGGAGGGGGAGGGGGGAGGGGGAGGGGAGGGGAGGGAGGAGGAGGAGGGGGAGGAGGAGGAGGAGAAGGAGGGGGTGGCTATCGTGCTGACCTTGGTGTCCGAGGCCTTTGGTGTCTTCTTCTTAATATTCTTTAGAAAAAAAGCCTTCATTTATTCGCGGGCGCGCCGGTGTCCTGTCCTGGCTTGTCGATGTCCCCCGCCAGGGGGGCCCTGCTGCGGCAGGGTCGCGCCGCTTCTGCGCGGGCGGCGGCCCATCCGCGCAGGCGTCCCAGGTGGGGCGCTGCCGGTGTGGGCCCGTCGGCCGAGATGGGCGCTGCCGGAAGGCCTCGAGCGTTCCAGGTGGAGCGATCCACGCGGTGTGCCGTGGCTCGTGTCGGGTGTATGTAGCCAGGGCCCCAGGCAAGGGGGGCCCGTCAGTGGTAGTGCCCCGGAGCCCCGAGATTGGCCAGAATCAGTAAAGCAGGTCTGCCGTAGCTTGTGTTTTCCTCGGGTGACGGCAGTTCCGGTCAGTGGAACGGGGCAGGGGGGCGTCCCCCAGCACACATCGCTAAGCCAGGTCCCACTAAACCCAGTTCTGCCAACGCCCGATCCTGTCTTGCGGGTCATGCCGCCACTGTTCCCGAGCCTCCTGGGGAGTCTATGCGTGGGGTCTCTCGGGGGCCTCGGTGGCGCTTCGTGAGGCCTCCACAGTAAGCTGAAGTCGGGCCTGTCCCCCACACAGGAGGAATATCTAAGAATTGTCCAAACATAGTCTGGGGGCGATTTTCTGAGTACGTTTGAGAATTCCTATGTATTTTTGGCTATGTCTAACTTGTTTCTTCCGAAATCCGCCTGTAGGGGAAGAAGCCCGACCTAACAGTGGGCGCATCCAATACGACATCGGCCTTCCAGTATCAGGCGATCGCAAACATGGATTAAGGGGGCGTGGATTAGCGACGGGTCCCGTTTCCATAATTAGGGAATCGTTGATTGCCGCCACCAAGCGAGGCGCCACAAGCCGCATTTGGGGGAGGGCACCTACCCCGATCCATGGATGTGGCGACTGCGCGCCAGATCCATGGATCGCTAATCCATGTTTGCGCGCCCTCGACAGTAGGTGCCCCACGGGGATGTCTTGCCCCCCGATGTCCCCAGGGACCCACGGCAGCTCTGGGGCACCTTTAGGACCTCAAGCGCTTGACCAACGATATTCCCCAGGCTTCTGTTGCAGCAAGTCTTGTCGTACGTGTCTGCTCTAGGGCTATGATGTTCCAACCTACTTTAGCATTGACCACCAGAAACAATTTCGAGCACCAAGGAAGTACCGAAATTGGAACGTTTTCGCGTGTTGGGCACTGCGAGGCGATTATCCTTCGACACTGTTTCGATACTTTTCTGAGTCCTCGAGATTATGCCTGGGATGTGGTCCTTAAGTGCGATGTGAGCAACATCACTCTAGGGAGCTTCTTGAAGGACCCTGAGGGGCCATCTTGGGCGGAAGAGGTCCTCGGTGCCTGGCCTGGTGCACCCTTCGCGAAGGTTACCGCAGAGTGCGGCAGTTTCGTGTCGTGTCGACCAGCGGCGACCCCGCCGCTGGCGTTCAGCGTTGAACGCCGACGGCGACCCAGAATTGGTCGATTTTGAACGATCGGACGTTGCAGAAGCGGCCGATCGTTCATGGTGTAACGATCCCTGCGCTGTCAGGAACCAGAGCCGGGATCGACACGACATGAACCTGCAGTAATTGGTGCACCAGGGCTGGACCCAAACGATGTTTTGCTGGACTTCGGCTGCGGTCTGTTTTCCCGTGCTGGCGGGGAGGTGCAGAAAGACAGGTGGAGCAGGACGAAAAACAAGTCGAGAACAACACGAAACACGACGTTTGGTTCGGATGCAACTCCTGGGAGGTAAAATTCTGTTTTCGCCCTGGTCCGAAATCCGGTTTAATCCAGCTTAATCCCGCTTCATCCGGATCAATCCCGCTGTATCCGGCTTAATCCTGCTGAGTCCGAGGCCCACTCCGGCGTAACAGCTTGCAAATGGGGCCTAACCCCCCTTAATCTTTCCGACGAAAACCTCCCAGTAGTTGCCTCCTAAGTTTGGGTCCGGCCCTGTTGTGTCCTGCGGCTCATGCTGCGCAGCCGAGCGGTGGCGCCCCCGGGCAGTCGGACTCCCTGGCGGTCCGCGGAGGCTCCCCGCCCCCGAGGTGGGCTCCGAGTGGGGCTGGGGCCAAGCGGAGGCGGCGGCCGTGGGCCTGCGGCGGGGGCCGCCGCGCCGCCGCGGGCGGCCTGCAGCTCGGGACCATCGGTCGGCGACGGGCCTTCTCGGGAGGAGGGGGGAGGAGGAGGAGGAGGAGGAGGAGGAGGAGGAGGAGGAGGAGGAGGAGGAGGAGGAGGAGGAGGAGGAGGAGGAGGAGGAGGAGGGGAGGGGGCGGAGGATGAGGAGGAGGAAGAATACGAATACTAAGAATAAAAATAAGAAAAAGACTACGAAGAATAAGCAGACGAATAATAATAATTATAAGAAGAATAAAAATACGAAGAAGAACGTAATAATCAGAAGAATAAGAATAATACTACTAAGAAGAAGACGACTGACACGAATGATGATAAAAATAAGAATAAGAATAAGACTAATAATAAGAATAAGAATAATAATACGACGACTAATAATAATACTACGACTAATAATATTATTAATAATAATGCTAATACTAAGAATACTAATAATACTAAGAAACATAATGCTATTCAAATGAAGAAGAATAAGAAGAAGAAAACGAAGAAGACGAGGAGGAGGAGGAGGAGGAGGAGGAGGGAGGAGGGAGGAGGCAGGAGGAGGAGAGGAGGAGGGAGGAGGAGGGTGGAGGAGGAGGAGGAGGAGGAGGAGGAGGAGGAGGAGGAGGAGGAGGGCGGAGGAGGAGGAGGAGGAGGAGGAGGAGGGGGGCGGAGGATGAGGAAGAGGAGGAGGAGGAGGAGGAGGAGGAGGAGGAGGAGGAGGAAGAATAAGAAGAAGGAGGAGGAGGAGGAGGAGGAAGAGGAGGAGGAGGGAAGAGGAGAAGAAGGAGGAGGAGGAGGAGGAGGCACGCCGTTAGGCAGAACCGAGGGGCCAGGGTTGGCCCGGGCCACGGTTGGCCCGCGCGCGGGCGCCCCACGGGCCGCGCCCGGGGCGCCTCCGGCGCGCTCACACCTCGGAGGTGGGGGGGAGAGGACCCCCGGCAACGACTCCCAGAGGGTGGGGCCCCAGCCGGGAAGGCTGAGGGGGGCCCACGGGAGACCTGCGTCGCCGATGGCGCGTTTTTAAAAACCCCCGGACCCGGGACCCAAAAACGACACGACGACAAGACACGACGGGGGGACGGAGACGCGGCACGACCGACGACGCACGACACGACACGACACGCACGACAACGACGGGACGAGCCGCCGGTCCCGCCCCAGGGCGGCGAGTGCAGGGTGGGAATCCTGCACCGCCCTGGGGGAGGCCACGGGACCTGGCGACCCCCCTGGGGAAGGAAGGCCGCGCTTATGGCGGCTGTCCCCAGGGTGCTGGGGCTTGTGCCCTGAAGGCCCGGTGCTCCCCGCCTGCACCAGGGGGCGCAAAGGCCCGGAGGAGGAGGAGGAGGGAGGAGGAGGAGGAGGAGGAGGAGGAGGAGGAGGAGCGAGCGAGGAGCGAGGAGCGAGGAGCGAGGAGCGAGGGGCGAGGGGCGAGGGGCGAGGGGCGAGGAGCGAGGAGCGAGGAGCGAGGAGCGAGGAGCGAGGAGCGAGGAGCGAGCGAGGAGAGAGGAGCGAGGAGCGAGGAGCGAGAAGCGAGGAGCGAGGAGCGAGGAGCGAGGAGCGAGGAGCGAGGAGGAGCGAGGAGGGAGGAGGGAGGAGCGAGGAGCGAGGAGGGAGGAGGGAGGAGGGAGGAGGGAGGGAAGAGGGAGGAGGGAGGAGGGAGGAGGGAGGAGGCGGAGGGCGGAGGGGAGGGAGGAGGGAGGAGGGAGGAGGGAGGAGGGAGGAGGGAGGAGGGAGGAGGGAGGAGGGAGAGGGAGGAGGGAGGAGGGAGGAGGGAGGGAGGGAGGAGGGAGGAGGGAGGAGGAGGAGGAGGAGGAGGAGGGAGGAGGAGGAGGAGGAGGAGGATGAGGGAGGAGGAGGGTTGAGGAGGAGGGTTGAGGAGGAGGAGGAGGAGGAGGAGGAAGAGAGAGCGAGGAGGAGGAGGAGGGAGGAGGAGGGAGGGAGGAGGAGCGAGGAGGAGGAGGAGGAGGAGGAGGAGCAGGAGGAGGAGGAGGAGGAGGAGGAGGAGGAGGAGAGGGAGGGAGGAGGGAGGAGGGAGGAGGGAGGAGGGAGGAGGAGGAGCGAGGAGCGAGGAGCGAGGAGCGAGGAGGGAGGAGGGAGGAGCGAGGAGCGAGGAGGGAGGAGGGAGGAGGAGGAGGAAGGAGGGAGGAGGGAGGGGGAGGAGGGAGGAGGGAGGCAGAGGCAGGAGGGAGGAGGAGGAGGGAGGAGGAGGGAGGAGGAGGAGGAGGGGGAGGGAGGAGGGAGGAGGGGAGGAGCGAGGAGGGAGGAGGGAGGAGGAGGAGGAAGAGGAGAAGGAGGAGGAGGAGGAGGAGGAGGAGTATCGCAGCTCGGGGGGGGAAGGGAGACGGAGAAGGCCTTCTCGGGAGGCGGCGGGAGGTCTCAGAAGCCCTTGCGCCTGCTGGGGAGCTCGCGGTGCATCCGGTGTAGGCCCAGGACACTGAGAGGGGGGACGCCCGATCCTGCTCAGAGGAGGCCCGCCCACGGAGGCCATCGGTTGTGCTGAGAGGGTCGACTGCAAGCAGGACCAGGAGAGGTAATCGGACACCTCGGCTCCATGGTTCGACAATTATTCAGAGTGCCCTGCTTTCTGGCAGAAGCATGCAAACCTGCTAAGACGAAGCTCCTGGAACAGTAGGGTGTGACAAGGATCGAAGAGGGGGAGGCGAGGAACTGGGGAGATTGACAGGCCCGGCGAGGTTGAACTTGGCCGCAGGCGGGGTGAACTAGGCCACAGGCAGGGTCGAACTTGGCCAGTGGAAATCAGACTTCAAGTTGAAGCTGTGTGGCTGTGTGCATTGTGTTTTTAAAAGGCTGCCACAATGTGCCTCGGAGTTTAGCAGAATGCGGCAGAGCCGCACGGACAGAATCACAGAGTAAAGAACGAGGTAGGAAACTGGCAAGGCGTTCGTGCTTGCTTCCAGGGGGCTCCCTGGGTCTAGTCCGGCCAGCGACTTGCTAATTACATGTTGTTGCCCGATCTTAGGTTTCTTAGCACGGTGGTCGTTCTAGCAATCCCAAGTCGTACGTGGAGAGACGGGGTATTGTTGATCCCCGGGAGGTCTTCGACACGGTGACGGGCAATCAAGTGGACCAGAAACTCCCGCCAGTCCGCGTGGCCATGTCAGCGGTCTACAATCAGTTCCAGGCGGGTGATGCGTGCAGCGATGTGTTTATGCGGATACACGTCAAGTCTTTCGGCTGACGATGCCTTTCGTGGCGCCACTGCGGTTTGCTCTTGTATCTCAGAATCGAATCGGTGCATGGCCATTCCCGTCGTTTCTAGTCAGTGCCAATTGAGCAAACATTCCTGAATCAGCGAGACCGTGGACTGTTTTCAACCAAGCATTGTAATAGCATGTGTGTTCCTTTCAGTTGGTGCGCCGCTGTGCTGAAGCCTGTCATTCCAGATCTCGGTACTTACGCCCTATTTGTGCACACGCTCGGAGGACAACAGTTTACACACAATCGAATCTGATTATTAATCGCTTCGCTCATTCCGCCGGCCCATATCGCGCACCGCCGTTGACTGGCCGAGTGGCCGTCGGCAGTGCGGAGCTGCAGGGGGCGGGGGACTCAGGTTGTGCCTCTTTTGTCGTGTCGGACGGTGGCAGGCGTTGAATGGGAACGTTGATTCTCGTGTAGTGCTTATGTCCTCTGTCGTTGCGGACGCGGGCGGCAAGGACAAGTTTTTTGTTTCTCCTCTTCGTCCTGTTTTCTCGTTCCTTCTGCATTGTTCCTGGATGTGTGTGTGTGTGTGTGGGTGTGTGTGTGTGTGGGTCAGGGGAGGGGTGGGGATGCGTGTGTCGGATTGGTTGTTTTCTCCGGGCTGCGTCAAAGGATGTTCGCGATGAGCACAGAGTGTATCTGCTGCGACAGTTCTGGCACCTCGCCGTGGGAGGGAAAAGGAGGAGGAGGAAGGGCAGCAGGAGGTGGAGAGGAGGAGGAGGAGGAGGAGTTGAGAGGAGTGCAGAGTGGAGAGGAGGAAGACTTGAGAGAAGTGCGGAGGAGTTAAGAGGAGCGCGGAGGATTTGAGAGAAGTGCGGAGGTGTTGAAACGAGCACGACGGCGACGTACGACGACGAGTACGATGACGAGTAAGACGATCGAACGGCAACGTGTACGACGACGAGTACGACGAGTACGACGACCAGTACGACAAGTACGACGACGATTGGCGAGTAGGTTTTAGAATGCAGGATTGTGCATATATGATAATGAACACCAAACACAATATTTAAATGAAGTATGTGGATTTCCTCGGTAGCGTCATTTTTGTCAACGGTCCCGGAACCCGAGGACGGCCTCCGAAGGCCTATTCTAGCATCGCTGGCAATTGCTTGCGCGCTCGAGGAAGAATTTGGGGGGGCCTCCTGGGGCCGCCTGGGGGCCTCCTGGGGGGTGTCTGCCGCCTGGGGCCAATAGTGTAGCGTCGCTGGCACTTGCTTGCGTGCTGGGGGGGCATTTGGGTGGCCTGCAGGGGCCGCTTGGGGGCTTCTTGGGGGCCTCCTGAGGGCCTGTTGGGGGCCTCTTGGGGCCTCTTAGGAGCCTCTTGGGGCCTCCTGGGGACTTCTGAGGGCCGAGGGCTCGAAATATTGTTTCGTGTTCCCCCCCTGGGGCCTCTCTTGGGGCGTCCTTGGGGCCCTCTTGGGCCGTCTTGGAGCCCTCTTGGGCCGTCTTGGGGGCCTCTTGGGGGCCTCTTGGGCCCTCTTGGGGCGGTCTTGGGGTCTTCTTGGGCCGTCTTGGGGTGTCGTGAAGCCGAAAAGGTGGAAACGTGAAAATTATTCCAAAACCTTAGGAAAAGCAATGAACTTTGCCTCTTGGGGCCCTCTCCGGAGTGCTCTTGGAGGCCTCTTGGGACGTCTGGGGGCCATCGTGGGCGTCTTGGAGCGATCTTGTGGCATCTCGGACCCCTCATGTAGCATCTTGAAGGCCTCTTGGAAGCCTCTTGGCCCTTCTTGGGGCTCTCGGGGACGTCTCGGAGCCGCGTTGGTGCGCTGCTGGAGCGCCCTGGTGACTCCTCCCGGGACTCTCTCAGGACCTTGCCGGGGTACTTTCCGCCCGGGGACCCCCAGGGGCCGCCCCGCGCGCGCGAAGTAGAAATAGAAAGATTGTAAAGCAGTCACCGGAGATCTTAGCACGCCTCTGGCCCGTTGGGCCGGCGAATTTCTCTACCCGACATTGGCCCTGCCCTCGCATCCCAGAGCTATCGTAGCGTTTCTCCGTACCCCTTTGCGCGTCGGATGACTCCATGTTGCCTTTGCGGCCCGAATCAATCCTACGCAGCGTGTGGGCCTTGTCCGAACCCACAGGACGATCGCAAGCACCCTCTATTTTCGCAAGAGTTTGGTTCTTCTTGGCTGGAGCACCGCCTGTGACGCGGGTCGTTCTTTGCCAGGGTTGATGGCGCGGGCATGTGGGGCTGAAGATGCATGTTATCAGATAGTTTTTTACCTTGCGGCCTGCGGCCCATCCTGCCACGGTGCTTGGGTTGTGGGCCAGAGGCTTCTTGGATGCCTATTTGGGTATCTTCGGGATGCCTGTCGGGGCGCTCTCGTTTGCTACGCGAGGCAGATCTAGGGACTTCTCTGGGAAGCTTTGGTGAGGTCTCTTGGAGGCCTCCTAGGGCATTTTGGGGTCTGCTGGGGAGTTCTCGGGGGCACGTTGGAGGAACGGGCTCCCTCAGGCATGTGCGAGTTTCCCCTCTTGGGCCCGCTTTGGGGCTTCTTGGGCCATCCTTCGGGCCTCTTGTGCCGTCTTGAGGCCCTCTTGGGCCATCTATGGGCTTTCTTCTGTTGGGGGTCTGTTGGGGCGATCTTGGGGCCTAAGAATCTTGGGGCCTTGTGCTTAAATCGTGCGAAGAAGGACTTCTAGGGAATCAGTGCTGTTGTCCTCTTGGGACTGTCTTGGGGCCCCCCCCTGCGGCCCCCTTGGACCGTCTCCGCGGCCTCTGGGGACCCTCTTGGCCCGCCTTGGCACTCTCTGGCCCCTGGGAGGGTCACACGACCCGCTCCTAAAGGCATGCGATCTGCCCCAAGGGTCATGCGAGCAGCCTCAGGAAGTCCCACAACTTGGGCTCTGGGCCTCTCAGAGGGTATATCACAATCCTCGATGCGAGGACTCGGAGGGGCCTGTGACACTCCACTCGGCGCATAATTACGGCACAGTGGCGGATAGTGAGCTAAGAGGTATGATATATATATATATATATATATATATATAAAACAAAAAAAAAAAAACGGACAGCGGTGCTAGGCCCGCCCGCTTATCCGCAGTCGATCAACGCTCGCCGTTGCGAAGTATTGCATCTTTTTCCCTTGTCCCGTATCGCATGCCCTCTCGCTCGCAAGAGGTCGCAGCGCATCCATCCGAAGGGTGCCAGCAGCGCTTCGGAGCGCCTCGGTAGCGCTGCGGCAGCCTCGAGCTTCGAAGCGCTGACTCGAGCATCCGCCGCATCGCACGGGCGGTCCTGGAGACGGCCACCCGCAGAGCCAGCGTGGCGGTGCGTAGGGCTGCAGCGAGCACCAGGACTATTGACTCGTTGCAGGGGCGAGCACTTGTGTTCCTCTCGCGAGGTTCGTGGAGGAGGAGGAGGAGGAGGAGGAGGAGGGCGCTCGGGGCTGAGAGCCGACGGTACTTTGCACCTGCATGGGGACGACTGTTCGCGCCCGACCCTGCGCAGCTGACGCCTCCGCGTGGCGTGAACTTCGGGCCGGTGGAGAAGGGCGAGACGATCACGAGGACCGTCGGGTGCCTCAAACAGTGGCGAAGCGTCCCGGCTCGCTTATAGGCCCACCAAATAATGTTCGAAGAGCTTGTTGTGGTTTGCACGACATGTTCTGAGAGCATTTCTGGCTGAGTCTGTTTTGTTTGAACACATCTGGCTTTTTAAATAAGAACATTGTGTTTGTTTTTCGAACATTTCTGGGTTCTAAGAACATGTCGTGATAGGCCTATAGAAATGCCGGGACGGTCGGTCTCTGTTCAAGTGCCGCGGACATAGTCTATGTATTGAGGACGGTTGTTCTGATCGTGTTTGGCTATGTTTAAGATTTGTGGGAGTAGTATTTCTATTTGTCGTTCAAGCTCTGCCTGTAGGGGGACGTGCCCGACCTGATTCTGCACGGAAGGTCGGGGGTGGGGTGTCTCATGGCAGGGGCTGGAGGTCGAAGAGGCGACGGCGGAAGCACACGGGCTGATTTGTCGCAGGCTTCGTCCGTGAGGCAGCCTTTTTTTGGCCAGCACCAGGGCTTGAGTGATCTCGCTGGGAGGCTGCCATGGGTTTCTGAAGTCAGAGGAGGGAAAGGCACCCATACCTCTACCCTCTCCTCGTTCTCCCCTTTTGGGGCCTCCTCGGAGGCCCTCGTCGCTTCCGCTGCACTCGCCTCAAAATTCTGGTCAGAACGTACCCCAGGCCCCAGGAGAGGTCCGAGGAGTAGCGGTATCGGTACGTTTTGGTTTCCCATGAAGCGTCTTGTGAACCTCATGTTGAGCTCGATTGGCCCCAGAGACCTGTGAAGTGCTCGATGGGCGAGATGGATCTCTTGCGTTCGCGGTGCCAGTTTCGGTTTGGCCCCAGGCAGAGCAGAGCCATGTGAGCCCATTCAAGAAGAGTCGGGGCTAGCTGAACGTTCGACATGGGCACTGTCTGTGGTGCGTCGTTTTTTTCCTGCTGGGCACGTATCGGCGATGCCTCCAGCGAGTCACCGCCGCCCCCCGCCTTCGGAGACGCCTGTGTAGTGAAATGCAGACGGTAGGACGAACGTCAAGCCATGCTATTGGACTGCGTGTTACCCTAGTCGTTGGGGATCCCAGTGTGGCAACACTGGGGAAGGGCCGTCCTGGGGCTGGTTGAGGCTCCTGTCGGTTCGGGGCATCTTGGGGCCTTCTTGGGGCGTCTTGCGGCTTCTCTCGTGGGCCGTCTTGGGGAGCTCTCGGATCGCTTGGGGCCTTTGGACGCCGTCTTGGCCAGGTTCGGGCTCTCTTGGGTTTGGGGCCCTATCGGGTGTTATGTCTGTCTGGGGGACCTCTCGGGCCATCTTGGGGCCAGTCTGGAGACCTTTTGGGCCGTTTTGGGAGCACTGTTAGGCTGCCCTTCGGGTCGCCTTGGACGCTCTGAAGACCGAGCATGGGATAATCAAGCGAACTTTTGTAAGCACAAAGATGGCGATCTGTGACTTCTGCTTCTTGAGACCTTCTTGGGGCATCTTGGCTGGCGTCCTGGACCGTGTTCCTAGATGGTTTCCCAGAAGATGGGGTCGGAGGATCGCGCCGCATCGCCGATGCATCGACGTTGCGGCTAGATGCGGAGACCGTGTTTCCCCACGCCGACGTCGCCGATGCATCGCCGACGTCGACGATGTATCGCCGACGCATCGCCGGTACAGCGGCGATGCGTTGGCGATGCGGTGCGATCTTTTGACCCCATCTACTCGGACCCCACTTAGGGGGCCTCTAGTGTGGAGGCATCCTGGAGCGCATGGGGGGCCATGTGGGGCCCTCCCGAAGGCATCTTCAGCTTACATGCCCGATCGGCGAGTGGGCCCCACGAGACCCCCTCTTGAAGCCGCCCTGGCCAGAAAAGCTCACGAAGTACGGTTCTTCCGGGGCGCCACTCGGGGGGGAGGAGGAGGCCCCCTTCCTCCTCCTCCTCCTCGTCCTCCTCCGCCTCCTCCTCCTAGCCGTTCTGGCTTAGGCAGTTGTGGCCTGAGCTTGCTGCCGCCGATTCTTCAGAGCGGCCGGGTGGCAGCGAGCCTCCTTTGAACAGGGCCAAGTACACCACGGTCTCGCCCTTCGCAAAACTCCTTGGCTTGCGCGGCTGTGTATTCTGTGCGCAGCAATGGCCAAGCAGCACCAGGAGGGGGGAGAACTCAGATCGTGGCATTGCAGATTTTGCTTTCGCCCACCGACAGGGAAACGTTCCTTCAGCAAGCCGGCGCGGGACGGTTGCTTCAAGAATCGTCGCAGCACAGGTGCCTGCTTCCACAGTCATGCTCCACATGCCGAGCCGTCGATGCATGCCAAATCTTTTCGAGGCGGTGCAAAGGTGGTGGCGAGTTCAAGCCTTGGGATCTTGCTGGACAGCTCAAGGAAGCCCAATGTAGGACCAATCAGTTGCAGAAGGCTGCTGTTCACAAGTCGTGTGGTACCAGGGCTGAGAACATGTCGTTTGACGTGGACATGGCATCTGATGGAGAATCGTTTGGTGAAGGCAAGTGGCGGGCACGTATTCATGAGTTGGACAAGCAGCTGGAGCTGGCAGGTAAGGCCGCAGGCGTGCAATGGACACGAAATTGTGAGCCTCTCAAACAGAGAAGGAGGCAATCCATGCATGTACCAATCAACATAAGCCTGTTTCAGCCCAGATGTTTGCGGTCAACCGGCATACGGCGACCGACGAGTCTCAGAATATTGAGAAGCTCAAGCACGCCATTGAGCTGCAGCGCGTGCACATTCATGAGATGCAGCGAAACGACAGAAGCAGATTGAATTGGCTAAGGCAGCAACCGATCCGCCTCAGCAGGAGCATGCTCAGGACGGGTCTGGCGCCATTGGCGCGCTCAGTTTCGACTGTACTCGACTGGGGACGGTTCGTGAGCAGCTTTGTGTTGGTGGGGCTACGCTGCAATATGGCTGGGGAGATCGCCAATGAGTTGCCGACCGTCACCACCACTGCGCAGATCCAGGTGCTGGGCTCGACTCCCTCGGATATATAGAGACGGACGGGCACCAACCATTGCCGCGTGAGCGTCAGGCACCTTCGCCAGGTACTCCTGCTGCTGCACCTGAGCTGGAGAAGGCTACTCAGTCTACTCCAACATCGGTTTCTGTGCGTGATGCGGACGTCGAGAAGCTGATTGGGGCAGCTTTCACTGGCAGGTGTTGCTCTTGAGGGCGAAGCCAGTGACTGCGATATGCGACAGGCTGCGAATCGATGGTTTGCTGGGCGCACGGGGACGAAGAGAACATTCAACCCCTATGTGTACAGTAGTTAAGTATGGTCGCAGCATGGTGGTGATGGTTATTGGTGGCAGTATGGCTGGGTCCACTCAAGAAGTTATTGGTGGCGGCCTTTCTCGCATTGGAGAATCAGAATTGCGACATGAACGGCATCGCGGAGTGATGCCTGGTCAGGACTGCGTGGACAATGGGCTTGTATCTAGAGACGCCACCTCAGGCTTCCAAGCTGCAGCCCAGTCCAACCAGAGTTATGAGACCATGGAGGCCTTCCCTCATCCCCGTGCGGCAAAACGCGTGGCTGAGAAACACATCGGTCCATATGAACCCCCGGGGATTCGCGGCAGCTGGAAGGAAAAGGGCCAGGTCATGACGACCAATGTGGGCAACGCTGGCCCGCTTCTCAAATACATGCAGTACTGTCGCCTGGCGATTGCCATGTTTCAATAGCACAGGGCGGACGATGCTGCACCCCCTGGTCTACAGTGTGCGCTCTAGGATATGGGCTACCATGGTATACTTGCGCCAGCCATTCGCACTGCGCAGCAAGGCACCTCTTCTGGCGCGGCGGTGCGGGCCCCCGCATACATCGCGGTCGCGCAGCCTCCCACGCATGAGCACCCTGCACGACATGAAGGGCAACTTGTGACAGGCAAGATGCCATGGGGCATGGCAGGAGGTGCGGTAGCAATCTATGCCCACTGCAAGGATTCCGTCTGATCGGATGATGCGGACCAAGATATAGCTTACACGCTGGCGTGCAACTGGAGTCGACTCAATGATTCGGACGCGCGCTGGGTTGTTGGAGGAGATTGGAATCTGACATCAGACACGCTTGACGGGCTGGCATGGTCGGATCAGCTGAGGGCGGCGTTCATCATGCCCTCGGAGGTCGCGCGTCATTCCGCGAACGCTACGGGAGGCGTTATATGCGATTAGAATGTTATATCTAACGGAATTGCGACCAAGCTAATGGCTCCGCAGGTGGATGGTTCCGCAGGTGGACGTTTCGTCAGTTCCACCAGCGCATGCCCCTGTCCACCTGCATGCGCTGCATGGGCACAATGAGTGTTGGACAAGAGTACTCGCGGAGCCGAAGCAGTTGCCCAAATGACCTTCTCGACCGCAGGTGCATCGGCATGACGCGATGGATCTTGCTGAAGAATCAGGGATGAGCCTGGGCTGCGACACGCGTGGGATGTGGTCATACATGGGTTGGAGATGGATATGCTTGGTCGCTGTGATCTAGTGCGTAGGGATGCCCAACCACGTCGAGGCCGCGGTGGCCCGATACGAACCAAGATGGCGGAGGTCAAGTGGATGCTTGAACCGAGTCGTTGACAGCACGGGCCTCTCGCCAGAGTTTGGGTCGCGGCGTCGAGACGGGCCGGGCACATCATGCGCGCGAGCTTATTGGGCCAAGCTTCTGCGAGAACGAAATGGGCGCGGAAAGAATGGGCACAATGCCCAACAGCGGATCCTTTGTCATGTTGCACAGGGCTCGCTGTCCACGCCCCCGCGGCCTGCGTCCATTCAAGACAGAGGGCCGCTTGCCCAACAGCGGCCGCTGTTGGTTTGGGACAACATTCGTTGTTGGGCATTGCCAATTCTTTGCGTGCACATTTCGGGCGCCCAAAAAGCTGGCCATCCAGTGATGGAAGCAAATGGCGTCGGAAGAGCGGGGCACTGCGGCTGCCCGACTACGAGGCACCCTGGACGTCAAAGTACGTAGATGATAAGTTACAGGATGGCGGTTGAGTAGGGGTCCGGCGCGAACGAGGACAGCAGATGCATCCGGCGGCGGTCGCTACGAACTCAGATCCTGCGAATCGACCAACAGTTACGTTTTGGGACGCGAAGGGTTTCTTCAGACGCATGCAGGCGGCAGGCCATATTATGCAGTGTTTGGACGAGGACACGCGTGCTTGTTTTATGTATGAAATTGAACGTTTGGTGATTCATGCGTTTGGTAAGATTGCCTCTGGTGTTGAGCGTGCTGATGGGTTTGCACAGTTGCCGACGGGGCTCAGCAGTCACAGATGGCAGCAGCGGGTCAGCGAGGCCTTTTGCAACGGTGCTCGCAAGGCCCATCGCCCGTCTCGGTCGCTTGATTTGCAGAGGATTGTCGAACGTACGGATCGCCTGCAGCTTTTTCAGTTGGCCAATAGTGAGATGCGGAAGTGGAAATCAGCATGGACGCGCCACGACACTCAGCGCATGCAAGTGCCCAGCGGGCACCCGCATTGGGAAGAGCTTCCCGCTATCACAGTGCAAGCGCTGCGCGAGGCTACCCAGACCTTTTCATGGAACGCGGCGGTGGGTTGCACTCGATTGCACCCACGGGCGTTTTGGTGTGTATCTGATGCTGGGGCGCATGGCGTGCGAGCGTGTGTTTATTTGGCCGTCACAACATCGTAAACGAAATGGTTATGTCGTCGAAGACCGGAAGGCGGCGCGCTTGATCGCACTTATGGAGAGCCTGGCGCGCGCGCGGTCGCGCATTCGACGTTCGATTTCGCGCGCTTGGGTGCTCGGGCACGGCAGCGCGCGCATATTGTGAACAGAAGGGGATGCTCGTCTAGCGATTCTGCGCATGAGCACGCCCTGCAAGCTGGAATGGCACACTTATGAGGCGAGCATTCCATTGCGATCGTGCTGGACATGTGGAAGTGTTTCGAAGCGGTCCTACCCCTGCCCTCTTTCGGGAAGCGCAAACCATGTGTTTTTTTTTCCATTGAGGTTGATATGGCTTCTTCTCGAAGTTTCTGTACAGCCAAGGGTGATCAAAACACGTCGCATCTGGCGTATGCCGACGATTTCGCGTCAAGGTATCTTCGTTGGTTGGTTGCACGCCATTGAATTACTAACCATTCTCACGTGCCGTGCCATGCGCAGGGCATGCAAGCATCACAGCAGGGCCATGCCGCGTGCTCTGGTCAATGACAGAATGTTTCAATGGATTGGCTTTGACCTGAGAGAAGCAGGGAGCAACATCGTGCAGCTTCTGATTTTACGATTGAGGCGTGAGGGCTGGGGTTGCTAATCAAGCCTGAGATGCCGGACTGGTCGGCAACGACGAGGCGTGCTATTTCTTCTTTCCGTGGCAAGGCGAGGCAGTTAAAACTCGCGGCCGAGAAGTGGTATCGAAACCTCGGTCACGACGCGTTTTCGGTTCGATCCGTTCGCAAACAAGCCCAGGTTCGTCTCGACAAACTGCGTGATCGTTTGCTTCAGCTACCTACGCTTGGGAGAGCTCCAGCTGGGCAGGTCGCCTGCGGCGTGCAGGTTTGCTTCCTGCCGCAGGCCATGGAGTGGCTCAGCTGAGCTTTCTTAGATGCGAAGTGTGGCCGGCATGTTGCGTGGATGCGCGGCCAGGCTGGCGTCGCTTATTTGGACTGTGGCAGCGCAGCGCGACAGATTATACGCCCCCGTGTGCCATGTTTTCTTATGGTGCTGGTCAGAGCATACGCTAGTTTTGTATGGGGCCAGCGTGTGTCCCTAGGCAGACTTCAGCGGGCTTGGGGCTGTCTGGCGGAGAAGATGAAGTGTCGCACAGTTCGGTCAAATGTGAGAGGGCCCCTGGAGGGAATTTGCATGACGTTAGAGCGTATCGGGTGAATGCTGGCATCTTGCACCTTGTGGCATGATGCTGAGAACTGCGCCATTGACTTGTTGCCTGTAGCGCCTAAGTCTGCATGCGAGCTTGTTCGGCAGGGGGTGGGGCGGCGACAGGGTAGATGCATCTTGGCACATCATGAGGACACTGCGGTAGGGGATGAGAGGATACGGGCGCGTCTACTACGTAAGTGCGTGGGTGCGCGCAATGCTGCAGTCCGAAGTCACCGTTTTGCTGGCGCTCGTCGCAAGTTTTGGCCAGGTTCGATTTGGGCCAGACACAGGCGGCATCAGGCTGGGTACGACATGCCCGCCAGATGTGCATGGTGTCCGGCTGACAAGGCCACGCACGAGTTCCACGACTGCCCGAGTTTCTACCAGGATGCCCTTGACGAGGGCCTCCAAGGGGACCCCAAGATGGACCACGTTTACAAGTGCCTGGAAGATCGCGGGTTCATGTCTAGCCCTCCCGATTGGAACTGGATACATATGCATGCGCATGCCTTCGTGCCCAGAGTTCCTCCCGCGTGTTCCTCAAGAGGCCTCGGTTACGCTCTGGGGAGCTAGGGGGCCTGATCGAGAGAGTTGGGCCACGGTGGCGCGCGCAGGCGGGTCTGGGGTGGCCCCGCCATGGCAAGAATTATGCAGATGTGGGCGAGGCTTCTGCCAGTTTGGGGATAATGGGCCCCCTGTGCGGGGCCGATCCAGGCGGTGGGCCGATCCAGGCGGTGGGCAGAGCAGGGCGCATGGCCCTCTTGTAGGCAGTCAAGCTGCTACCCGCAGTTTCGCTGGTGGTGGCGGACCTCTCGAGCACGGCTCAGGAGGGCAGCGCGTGGGCAGGCCAGCTGACCGACGCCCAATCACAGTGCGCCGACCTTTGGCCTGCAGTGTTCAGATGGATGCAGGGGCGACAACCGCCCCGATCTTCCTGGCGCCCTGCCCAGTGGGCTGTGGGTCAACACCCATGGGCGCATTTTCTTGGCAACGGGTGTGCGGATTATTTCGCCAAGTGTCGCGGCGACACATGCTGTGGCCAGTTTGCTCGTGATGCCGCATGACTGCATACTTCGAGATGCTCGCGTGGAGGCTACATTCATCGCAAGGTGTGCGTGCGAGATGGCGCGCCGTGATGCATTGAGTGATCGGCCTGTGCGTGCGGCACACGCCCAAGCCCCCACGGCCTTGGTAGCGCTCACGAGGCACAGCTCGGTTCTTCTGGGGGCCATTTTCCAATGTAGAGTGTGCTTGGCTGTTGCTAGGGCCCCAGCGAGCCTCAATCAGATGTTGCTCACCGCTTGTGAGCCAGCGGCCCAACAGAGGCTGAAGGCCCTCGGGGATTTCCGTCTCCAGGCTGCCCCTCCCCTTCGCGCGCGCGTTGCTCAGGTGGCGCTGGATTTTTTACCGAACAGCGAAGACTGATAGGTTTCTAACGGTTAGAAAAAAAAACATCATGACTCCCCAGGGGGGTCCAGGCAGGATCCGGGGAGGATCCGCGGAAGTCGTTTTAAGCAAACAGTTACACACTTCGTGGTCTTCGAGGTCTCAGAACTCCATTCCCGGGCCACATTCTGAATGCCCGGAGCCACCTACCTGTAGGCAATTTCGTCCTCTTCGAGTTCCCAGAATTCCATTCCCGGGCCACATTTTGAATGCCCGGAGCCAACTGCAGGCTACTTAGTGTTCTTCGAGTTTCCCAAAAATTCCATTCCCGGGCCACATTTTGAATGCCCGGAGCCAGCTGTAGGCCACTTCGTGGTCTTCGGGTTCCCAGAAGTCCATTCCTGGACATGATTTTGAATGCCCGGAGCCAGCCGTAGGCCACTTCGTGGTCTTCGAGTTCCTAGAACTCCATTCCTGGGCATGATTTTGAATGCCCAGAGCCACCTGTATGCCACTTCGTGGTCTTCGAGTTCCCAGAATCCCATTCTTGGGCATGATTCTGAATGCCCGGAGCCAACTGCAGGCCACTTCGTGTTCTTCGAGTTCTCAGAACTCCATTCCCGGGCCACATTTTGAATGCTGAGACAGGCTGAGGCTGAGGCTGAGGCTGAGGCTGAGGCAGGCTGAGGCCGAGGCTGAAGGCAGACTGAGGCTGAGGCTGAAGCAGGCTGAGGCTGAGGCTGAGGTTGAGGCTGAGGCTGAGGCTGAGGCTGAAGCAGGCTGAGGCTGAGGCACGCTGAGGCTGAGGCTCAGGCTGATGCAGGCTGAGGCTGAGGCAGGCTGAGGCTGAGGCTGAGGCTGAAGCAGGCTGAGGCTGAGGCTGAGGCTGAGGCTGAGGCAGGCTGAGGCTGAGGCTGAGGCTGAGGCAGGCTGAGGCTGAGGCTGAGAGGCTGAGGAGGCTGAGGCCGAGGCTGAAGGCAGACTGAGGCTGAGGCTGAAGCAGGCTGAGGCTGAGGCTGAGGCAGGCTGAGGCTGAGGCTGAGGCTGAGGCTGAGGCTGAGGCTGAGGCAGGCTGAGGCTGAGGAGGCTGAGGCTGAGGCCGAGGCTGAAGGCAGACTGAGGCTGAGGCTGAAGCAGGCTGAGGCTGAGGCTTAGGTAGGCTGAGGCTGAGGCTGAGGCAGGCTGATGCTGAGGCAGGCTGAGGCTGAGGCTGAGGCTGATGCATGCTGAGGCTGAGGCTGAGGCTGAGGCCGAGGCTGAAGGCAGACTGAGGCTGAGGCTGAAGCGGGCTGAGGCTGAGGCTGAGGCAGGCTGAGGCTGAGGCTGAGGCAGGCTCATGCTGAGGCAGGCTGAGGCTGAGGCTGAGGCTGATGCAGGGTGAGGCTGAGGCAGGCTGAGGCTGAGGCCGAGGCTGAAGGCAGACTGAGGCTGAGGCTGAGGCAGGCTAAGGCTGAGGCTGATGCAGGCTGAGGCTGACGCTGTGACTGCGACTGCCGTTGCCACTGCGACTGTCATCGCGAATGCGACTGCGACTGCGAGAACAGCAGAATTCTACAACTGGATTCTCATCTGAATCTGAAGGGCAATGCTTCCAGATATGCTCCTACACATCGCTGTTCGGTTGCTTTGCCCGGATAATATGATGCGTTCCTGGGCGGCGACGGTTCCGATCATGCGAATCAGGGGCAAGAGGCTGTCAGCGCGCCGCTTGATGAAACTATCGTCGGTCGAGCTCAATGGGCACCAGATGTTGGTGACCCGTGGCGCGCTGTTGCGCGCCCTGCGCGGCACCTATCAGTTGTCTTTTGGCTAGGTCACCAACTGCAAGTTCAGAAAAGACCGTTGCCAAGGACCTTCTGGACACCCCCCAGCCCGTAGCAAACATAAATTCCTGGTCTCTCGAGTGCGGGCTGGTAAGCATCCCGAGACTGGGATGCCGTTGGAAGTCTGGTAGTTTTGAGACAGGCTTCGCGTTGGCATGGCCTGGCCTGTCTTCGTGCGAGCTTGGCCCAGTGTTGGTCCGTGCTCCCGTCAGCGGTTGCACGACTCGGCCGCCTGGTCGGCCTCCTCCTCCTCCGCCTCCGCCTCCACCTCCTCCTCTTTCTCCATCTCCACCTCCTCGTCGTCGTCCTCCTCCTCCTCCTTCTCCTCCTCCTCCTCCTCCTCCTCCTCCTCCTCTTTCTCCGAAGCCTACGAAGCCTGCGAAGCTGGTCGTGAACAATCAAAGGAGGAAAAGGTACCCATACTGCTACCCTTCCCTCGTTTTCCCCTTCTTGGGCCTTCTGGGACGACCTCGTCGCCACCGCTGGAGTCGCCTCCAGATCCTGGTCAGAACGCACGCCTGGAGAGGTCCAGGGAGTAGCGGTATCAGTGCGTCTTTGTTTCCCCGAGCAAGAAACTTTGTTGATGCGTTTTGAGGCCTCTTTCGGACGGGGCTAGGACGAGGACCATCTGTTCCCGAGCGTCCCGGAACGCTTTCAGAGCGTTCCGGAACGCTCTGAGAAGGCCGCGCTGTTCAGGGCACCGTGCAGATCCGCCGGATTTCAGAGGTGCCCGATCCATCCCTGCCAGAACGCATCCTCGTCCCAGCTTCGTCTCGAGATGCCTTTTCTGCATGTCTCGAGGCCTCTTTGGGTGTCTCCTCTGGGCCTCTTTGGGGCCCTGCTGGGGGCCTCGCTGGGGGCCTCGCCGGGGCCTCTGCAGGCTGGCTTTTTCGGGGGGGGGGGGGCCCGCGGGCCGTCTCGGGGGGTCCTCTTGGGGACCTCGAGGGTCCTTTTGGCCGTGCGCGCGCCGCCTCGTGGGGGCCACTTACTAAATAGGCCCACCCAGGGGGAGGAGGAGGAGGAGGAGGAGGAGGAGGAGGTTTTTTTTTGCTGCAAGAACGATGCCTGGCGGTCCCCGCCCCAGCTCGCCACAAGATTAAATGGGATAGGCGGGCACTCCGCCACGGGGTGCCTTCCCGCCTCCATCCCGATTCAGTCCATGAGGCACTCCCAGAAGGCGGCGCACTCCTCCTGTACCAGGGAGCGCGGTACCGCACCCAGGGAGACCTTCACTGCGTAAGGATTTCTGCCTCGGCGCAGGAGCGAGAGGCGGTACCCTGCGGTGGGGTTCGCTGGAGCCCCTCCGCAGGCACCAAAGAGCTTGCACCCCCTCTCGCTCGAGAAAACACCGCACCGATCGCAGAAGGTGTACTGGCCCACGCGGTGCAGCTCGTGTCCAAGAGCCGCACCGCGAAGGGCGGGAGAGATGTCTCCTTCCCCGTCCCCCCGCCCCAGCACGACTCCCCAACGACGATCCACCCTCATCTTACCCTGGCAGGGCCTGCG